CCCCGTCCCCCCGTCCCCGTGTCCCCGTGTCCCCGTGTCCCCGTGTCCCCGTGTCCCCGTGTCCCCGTGTCCCCGTCCCCGTCCCGTCCCGTCGGCGGACATCGAAAACCAACTGGCGAACATCGAACGGGAACCGGCGGGCATCCATAGGTCACATCTTGTCTTTCGTTGTCGTGATGACTTTTTCGTTGTTCGCCGGTAATATTCCCAAAATGTAAGGAAAATAGGGTCTTCCCCCTAGGAAAAACCAAGGAAAACCTAAGGGAAATTACAGGAAAGCCGTCCAAAATGTAAAAAAAATCGCTTTTTCCCTATGAAAAACAACGAAAACCTAAGGGAAATGACAGAAAATCCGTCCAAAATGTAAGGTAAGTAGGGTTTTTGCTAGAGAAAACCAAGAAAATCGACCAAAAAAAAAAAAAGGCCCCCCCCCCCCCCAAAAAAAAAAAAAAAAGACCCCCAAAAAAACTCCACCCATTCCTGAGCCACTGGACATCCACGAGCTTTTTTTTGGCTGAAAGAGACCCGAAACCTCCAAAACCCTTTTGTCTTGCCTGCCGTTTAATCTGCTGTCGTTCTCTGCACGCCTGCAAGTTAGGCAAGCGGCAGACGAAGCAGGAGCAGCAAAGCACAGATCCCGAAGCCAGGAGATCTCGGATTGCTCATGCACTTTGACGCCCCAGCACTGCCTCCTTCGTCTTCGCGGAGCCGGTCGCGGCGCGACTTTGTCTGATGATTTCAGCTGAAGGGGTTTCAGGGTTTTCCTTCGGGGAAAGGCGTTAAATCCTCTTTCTGCCGGCGTTTTTTCGATTCTGTGGGTTACGCGCTGTTGGCCAACTGTTTTGCACAGCCACTTTTGGTTGATGGCGGTCCTTGTATAACACTTCCGGGATTCTTTCGCCACGGGCCCGATCTCAAGCCGTCAGCCCGAGGGATGGTGATGGTGTGGGAGCTTCGCCTATTCAGGATGCATCAAAAATGCCTCACCTCCCCAACCGAGCACAAGATCTCAAAAGGGTGATGGATCCAAGCACCTGATAGTGCTTGGTGCCACAAAGGGTTGCCCCATCAGACACAACCGGACAGGGAGGAAGAGGGCAGTTCGCAGACTGCCGTCTGGACGTCGTGGCAACGCATCTCCCTGACGAAAATGTGAAAAGGCAAGCATGTGTACCGGCACCGATTCAGAAGTCTCGCTGCAGCAAGAGCTTCCGGCCGTCGTCTGATGCAGGTCGAGGCTGGTCGTATGCACTCTGTCCCATCACTGCAGAGTCAGTGCGTGTGGACATGCCCATGCTGGAAGGCCGAATCAGCCTTGTCACCCTGCTCCGAACCATCCTGTTGTGGCGTAGTTTGCGGTGCCGTATACCATCGTCATCAAGCATCCTCGGTGCAGCCCCCCAACTCCTTCTACTCCTTCTGCCTGAAGTGGCAGCGCAACGTGCGCGCCTTAACACTGAACATAGTGCGTGCGATTGATGGATTGACGTCACGCAGGGTGGGTTGTCATGCCCTGGGTACGGGCTGTGGGAACTTAAACAGCCGTATACATGTCGTCTCTGCGTGTCTGTCTCTGCGCTTCTGTGTGAGTGAGCGAGTGCGGGCTAGGCGTGCGCGCGCGCGAGTTCGTGCGCAATACGCCTGCTGCCGGTATAGATCTTCATGGGAAATCTCAGTGGCTGGAAGTCGCACTCGTGAACAAGAATCCTGATGCAGCAGGAACCTTGCGCAGTTTGCAGCTCATTCTCTGAGCCATTGGTTCGGCAGGTTCCACGACTTTTTGTGCTTCTTCCTGCAACAACAATAAATACTGTAAACCCTAAACCCTAGTAACCCTAAACCCTGAGGATCATCGGGGCACTCGGGGCACTCGTTTGGCTCGCGCTCCTCCAAGTCCTCCGCAAGTCGCAGATCAGAACGGAGCCTGGCAGCTGCGTGTGTATTCAGGAGAATCCGAAACCCTAGCTAGCATACTAACCACGGGACCCCCTCTGCACTTCGGACCTATGGTTTTTGAGTTTCTGGGTGAGGCTAAATGTCGGGTTTTGGAAAAGTCTGGGGGGCTTGGGGTTCGAGATGTGGTGTTGGAGTTGTATTTGTGCACCCAATGACCCAAGGCATGTACGCCCAAGGAAATTGGAACTCATAGCTGCCGGCAGTCGTACGATTTAGACTAAGCTTTCTTAGATCATCTCTATTGTCCTGGCTCGCTGTTTTGCAGGGCCACAGCCGAAGAAATGAGGATGTAAGCAGAAAGCGACATGCCCTGCATCTTGACCAGCTTAGCTTCAGCACCCATCCCTCCATCAGAATCTGCAGTGTCGAAGCAAATCGCGTGCAAGAAGCTAAGGCACGCGCACAGGTGGGGAAGCGCGGTCCGGGCTTGTCACTCTGAGTCGGGCCTTGCATTGTACAGTTCCCAACTTTTCATGGCAAGCATTGCCTGCGGCATGGTAGAAGTTGCTGCAGTTTTCAACACAGTTCATGCTGCTTCCGCAAGCCATACCCCAGCGAGCCCCAATGCCGGTAGTGATGACATGTAGTCACCGTTTTCATGGGCGTGTTGGCCTCTTTCGGGCTTCGCGGCTTCGGATGTCGATGTAGCAGGCTTGAGGTTTGTGGGGCTCGGAACAGCCTCTCCGGTAATTGGCCATGCAGCAAATGCAGCAGACCTTGCAGTGTTCCGTGGAATGATCTTTATGGAAACCAATCTTCAGAGCATCCGACGAGGCACATTGCAGTCGGCATGTCTAACCCAGTGGCGATGCGTTTTCTGTCGGCTCATGAATGCGTACAAAGGTCGCTTTGCACCCTGCCTTGCTGAACCCTACAGCCTAGAGGGCCTAGAGTCCTTTTTTTTTGATTAGGGTGCAGCAAGAGAAGCGCGAGGCTTGAGGTTTCAAGGTTGGTGTTTGAAGTCCAGGACTCCAGGATTGCAATGCAGTTGCATCAGGCTTCTGGCGGTTCGAGCAGACCCGTCAATTGGAATTGCATCCCTCGGATCTTTCAACCTAGACCTAGACGTGCGGACCGTCGAGCCAACATCGGCATGTGCCCAGCTCCAGCTCCAGCTCCAGCTCCAGCTCCAGCTCCAGCAGCAGCAGCAGCACCACCACCACCAGCAGCACCAGCAGCAAAGTGAAAGGTGTGAAGACAGGTCTTGGCCGAACATGTTTTTTTTCACCGATGTGTACAGAGTTTTCTGCCAAGTTCAAAACGCTACAACAAATCCCTAAGGTCTTATATTCCACAATTCCCAAGCCCTTTAAGTGCGAGTGTGAGCGTCGAAACCCATCCGGGAAATCCTAAACCAATAAACTCCTATATACCACAAATCCCAAACCGATAAAGTCTTATCTCCCACACACAACCTACATCCATAAACGTCCGCACCCCACAAATCCTAATCTGGCCAAGGAGCTAGAAGGAGCAAACCCGAAACACGTGGCATCAGTTTATGCAGACCAGGGGCCGCTAAATAGTTCAGGGGCTGAGTGTCGAGGCCAGGGCTGAGAAGGGTTTGTGCACCCGATGGTACGAAGCTCGGGGTGGCGCCGATGCTACAAAATGGACGTGATAACCCTTGTCCTCTTCTCCCCCCCATCCCCCAAACATGGATGGGACCAGAAAATCGTAAAACACAGGCAGCCCTAGAATTCGAAGGGTGAAAGACAGAATCGTGCGCCGGAGTTCGGCGTATCCCTGGCGTGGACGGGGCGCCTGGCGGCGACAAAAACAAAGCAAAAGAAGAAGAAGAAGAAGAAGAAGAAGAAGAAGAAGGCGAAGGCGAAGGCGAAGGCGAAGGCGAAGGCGAAGGCGAAGGCGAAGGCGAAGGCGAAGGCGAAGGCGAAGGCGAAGGCGAAGGCGAAGGCGAAGGCGAAGGCGAAGGCGAAGGCGAAGGCGAAGGCGAAGGCGAAGGCGAAGGCGAAGGCGAAGGAGAAGGAGAAGGAGAAGGAGAAGGAGAAGGAGAAGGAGAAGGAGAAGGAGAAGGAGAAGGAGAAGGAGAAGGAGAAGGAGAAGGAGAAGGAGAAGGAGAAGGAGAAGGAGAAGGAGGAGAAGAATAAGAAGAGCAAGAACAACAGCAACATTACAAGAATAACAAGAAGACCAACAGCAGCAGCACCACCACCACCACCAGCAGCAACAGCAGCAACCTGAACAAAAACAACAGGTCCCAAACAACACAAGCTCGAGCCGCTCGAGCCTGCAAAAACATGTCAACCATCCATGCAAATTGTGTTTCCAGATTTGCTGGCCTTTTTTTCGAATTGCGGCCTCAGGGGGCCCGGCTTGCAGGCACACTGAATAACGCAAATGCATGTTCAAAACGATGTGACTCGATGCCCCGCAGCAAAGACAGTCCCCACACACGCCAACACATTCGACACAAGCTACGAGACTCCCCTCCCCTTCCCCCCTCAAAACAAAAAGTCGCATGAAAGGATGGGCGCGGCAAGGCATTTTTTGCAGGATTGTCGTTTCAGCTGCCAGCTGTTCAGGAGCACACCTGCTGGTTCTGCATCAGAGCAATAGGCCCGGATCGCCAGCTCCCTCCTACTCTGGGGCTTCGACTGTTGGAGGGATGAAGTTGGGCTTCGGTGAACTTCGCAAACCCTTAGAACATCAATACCCTCTACCCTACCCTACTTACCGCACACCCCCACTGAGAAGAGCTGCGTTTCTTGCTGGTGTAGCGCTTCTTCGGGGCCGGCAGGATTTTTTTTGCAGCCCTGAATCAACCCTCCCGGGCCCCTGCTGTGGACTCCTTGCAATCTCTCAAATCCTAGCAGTTTTTTGGGTGATGTTTTGGTTCTGGTTTGTTTATCCGGTCCAAGCCCTTGCCTCTGGTTCGTCGTGCGTTGTTGTTGAACCCTAAAATACCCTAAATCCTAAACCCTACTCTCAGAATCCTTTCCCAGAAATCCGAGACGCTTACCCAATATGCTACGAATCCCTTTCGTCGCAAACAAACCCGCTTTGTTTGGCGCGCGACCAAAACGTTCCCAGAAAGAAGCCAAAAGAATTCACAGGTTCATATTGCTGTCATTGGTGACTGTATATAGGGCTCCATATACAGATTGGTGAGTGTGTATATTTTGTGTCCTATGATGTCTCACCGAAGATCTACGAGCCGAAGCTTTGCCTGCCTTGAGCGAGCGTGAGAGTCGAGACCCTGCACCCTTGTCAGGTAGCAATTCCACGGGAGAGGTCGGACTCCTGAACGAGCTGACGCTGTGCTGGCACTGGCCCTGTATGTCTTTTTCATGTCCATGGTCAGCCGTGGTTGCAGAAAGATCTGAAGATTACGGGATCAGGGCCGGCCGTGATGTTCCCCGAAGTATCCGAAGATGGTGTTTGAGATCGGGTGCAAGCCATCATGTCCGACAAAGATCGGACGATTTCGGTACGTATCAGCACAGCGGGCAGAAGGTGTGAAGACTGCAAGAGGTCAGTGAGAACGGTGTTTTTACCAAAACGGTCTGAAGATGCTGCGGCGCTTCCAGTGAATCCATCATATTATTACTAGTGACAGTTCCAGAATAGGATCAACAGAACCTCGTTTCAGAGTTTCGGGCTTCCTTGCGTAAGGAAGCTGGCCCTACAGACATCCTCGGCAGACGCCATGCAGTCCATCCGGGAGACAACCTCTGCTACTGGACATCAAATTGTGGGCCTGTGATTGCTGCACGGTTAAGTGTGTGTTTTATTTTTCCGGGTGGCTGTGCTACGACTGCACCATCGCATCGCTGATGGCGTGCATGACTGTGAATTACTGCAAAGTTATATGTTGTAGAATGTAATTCGGATCAGAAGATCAGGATCCAGGAGTTCCGAAGCAGGCTTATCGTCGAGTACGTGTAGTGTGTGTGCGCAACCTCGGTTCCGACTCGCCATCGGTATCGTAGATCCGTAGCTTCACTTGGAGCAGCATCCTAGGTATAATAAGAAGGACCCTTAAAGGGAAACCCTTCTTAGCCCTCTTCTGGCTCTCTTAAACAGGGACCTTATTCAGAGGGTCTACATCCCCAAGCGTCCTCTTAAGCAGCCCTTTTCTGAGCAACATGTCAAGTATCAGAGCAGCCCGACCACATTTTCTACCCAAACCCTTCGCCACCCAACATCACACAGCTAAATTGTATTGAATGTCCAACTCCAGGCCACACTCACCGGGCAGCGCCTGGCCGATGTCGCTGCGGCGGCTGGCCGCGGTCGGAATGCCTTGGAGGCATGGCCCTGACAAGAAACAAGATTGCAGAAGAAGGGGGAGTGGGAGTTTTAATGCAACCTGTACTGGCTTGTGAGCCCTCAGCCTCAGAAAGAACGCCTACGAACTTTTGAGCCATACATCCCCTCCAGCTGCAGAGCTGGATCGCAGATCTATGGCCCTTGAACCCAGGCCCCTTACTCATCTCCCAATGATCATACTTGTACCTGGGGACAGACTGTGCAGCATCCTCACCCTTTGCAGGTCTTCAAGCAGGCCACTGCCGGAAGCTTTGCGGCCTCCTTAGCGTTTGCATGGGCCTGCGTTTCAGGCCTTTGGGAGCACTATGAGGAGTGTGGTGTGTTTAGGGTCCCGCAAGTGGTGGGCAGTCTTGAACCATACGAAAGCTACAGACTCGGAGTCTTCCTGGGTCAGAGCGGTGATGATGGCAAAGGCATTTGCCCTTGAATTCTTCATCCTTCACTCCGGGGGCGCTAAGAGCGCCCAGGAGCCGCAGCATGACAAACGATGCGCATGACGCAGGCAACAGACATCAAGAAACTTGCCACCATACAGCTGGGTTTTCTCAAAAACAGTCACTCAAGTTGCTGCCTGTGAGACTGTTTTGTTTCATGCCGACGATGCTTCTTCACGCGACTCAAGAATCGATTTGCGCCGACACCTGTGTTACGTTACGTTTCACCAAAGCCAAACGCCCGGGCTTTTTGCTGCCTCAAGCATCCTGCAAGCTCACACCCAGCAGCAGAGCGCACACGACATGCACACGGACCTTTTCCAGAGCGTGCAGGCTGTGCGACAGGCCCCGTCGGTGGCGCGTGCGTCAGCACGTGCTTCTAGCAGCCCCAGCAAAAGTTGCAGGTACATGCAGAGTTCCTACCGTAGTGGGTGGTCCTTGCAGCAAAACAGCAACTCTGATCACAAACTGCGGTCTGTTTCCTGAGGTGGAGACTTTTCTGTCGTACCGGTACACCCTGCAGACGATTGAGGACAGTCCGCGGGACTTTCCTCATTTGGGGTTTTGGCGCTCGGGCTCAAGGCATCTCAAGGCTGAAAAGCATGGGCTGTTGAGCTAAGCAGCTACCCAAACTTTTGGGCCGTCGGCATATCTTAAGATGAAAGGAGGCTGTCGTAGTTGTCATATGCAAATTGTCGGGGTCAACAGACCTATCAGGGTGCAGGAAAACCAGCTTGGGGCATTTGTGGCTAAAAAAGTGGGCCACCCTTCCCGAAAGTGCGGGAGAAGGACGCCCGGCACACAGCCTTCCTTGCCTTGTCTGGCTTCACCGCAGTCCTGGTGCTGTTGGCCGGGGAGCCCATCTGGTGAGGTTGATGGCTGAGGGGCTGGAACTACGAAAGAGAGAAAGGGTTTGCGCTTTGTGTTGGACAAAGAACTGGTTCGCTGCAGTGTTCGTTAGAGTTATTTCAAGAACAACGCTCATTATTCTCAGAGGTTTCTGCACGGAACACGAGCTTGTTTGAGGGACAGGCCTGGCAATGTTACAATGTTGTGCTAGGGATTGGGCATTTGCAAGATGCGAAGAAGTGAACCTCGAAACTCCTCCCCTCCTGGGCTTCTTCAAGCCATTGGTCCTGATCCATCGTGATATTCATTTTTGCCACGTTAACAAATCTGCCGTTGCTCGAATGCCGTGTTAACGGGCCCGCCCGTTGTAACGACTACCTGGATCTCCACAAGGAAGGACTCCAGGGAGCTTCCCCCCCCCCCAACCTTCGCCGCAGCCTCCCACAGGCCACGCCCGGGTCGATCGTCTACGCCCGGCGGTCCAAGGCGACGTATCCGAGTGCCTCCCCTTCCTGCGCTTCCTGGTGTGGGACCTGGACGACTTAGGGTCCTGCAAAGGGCTGCGCTGGCTCACTTCCAGGGAAACACGGGTCTGTTGCAGAATCCAGCTGCCAAACAGGATAATTAGGAATCCATGTGAACCCTTGCAGTCCGCTCATCTGATTGATGAGGTTTTGCAGCTTCTGCGCTCTGACCTGCGGACTCCTCTTCGCTGGGGGGTTACTGCTGGTGGTCCGCAGCTGAGCTTAGGATCTACCAGCGGGGTGGCCTTCAAGGGTAGTTCAGGTCGGGGGGTAGAAAGTATGGAAGGTTCGGGCTCTTTGAAGTTTAAAGTTACACAGAGCAGGTTTGGACAACCTGGGGTCAGTGCCTAAAAACGAGAGCTGGAGTTCAGAAGCATCTGACCCAGCCCTGAATGCAGGAGACCGAAAAGCCGAGATTAAATGTCTCGAGCCGTTGGAAGATGCCAAGCAATTTCAAGCAACGCATCCTTATTACGAAGCTGCATCCGTAAGTGACATGAGACATGGTCGGCCACGAGGCGATCCCAATGTCCGAACTTTGCCATTTCTGGCGCTACGATTTGCTCACGCATGGGGGCATCTCCGACTACTACAGGCTCGGCCGAGGGTGAGATTTTGAGAGCTTCAGGTGGTCGCATGCGGGCAGGTGGCTTGACCTAGAGTGGGTTGGCGGCATGCATCCGACCGTTTGTGCACGGCTAGCTATCAGCATGGTACTTGGTGCGGTTCCTTCTTCATTATGACAGTATAGTGCAAAGCAGGTGCGAACAATGCGGTAAGTTCACAGGAAGGTACAGTGTAAGGCGCAAGCCTCTGCATCGGCAGCAAGGAACAAGTCCTCCCCAAGCCCCCCCAGCAACCGCTTTACGGACGCGCGTAGAGGGCATGGAGAAAAGCCGCCTCCAGAGATGCTATCACCTTAACAGGGGCCTTCTTTTTGCTTTTGCGCCTGGCTCCCCCTGTTCGCCTTACTTGGCCAAGCCTATATATCTTCCCATCGGCAGGAACACCCGAACGCGAAGGGCATGAGGGCAAGAGCTCCAAAGCTCTACGAAGCACGCCCTAATCATCCCTGCCTGCTTCAGCGAGTGAGTCGAAACCGTTGCCTCGCCCCTTCGCCCCTGCCCACTCGTCAGAGGCAGATTGGCCTCTACAATGAAGCCGACCTGGCACGGCACATCGCACCTCGGCCTTTGTATCGATGGGTCAAGATGCCTATCAGGCATCCCAAAGCCCTTGTCTCGTTTTTCTTTTACGTTGGCCCCCAAGGCCCCAAACTTGTCAGCCCATACATTCGGCCTAGAAGACAGCATATGTGGCTATATACGGTATTGAGCTTCGGGTGCGACTGCCAGAGTGGGATTGCAAAAACTCTTGGTTTCATCTAAGGAGAGCCGCTTTCAAATTCAACATGCCTCGCCTGTGTTGTTCGAGAGCGAAGGCAAAATCACGCATGGAACCCCGAACTCAAGACCCCAGGCACTCAAAAGCTCCAGATGCAATTTGGCAATGGACTGTAAATACTTCACTGCCGATTGCCTGGCAGACTTTTTTTGCAGAGTCGCACAGTCCAGGATCCATACGCCACTGATGTGCCGGAACCTCGGAGTGCGCTCCGATTGAGGGCCTGAGCAAATTCGGGGATCCTGGCACGGGTGCTTGGGGGTGACTCAGCAGGTTCTGGCTTCAGCTGAAGGGGCCGAGCCGATAAGTCTTTGGGACTGAGAGCGCAAGCCGTTCGTGCGACTCACTGTGCATGTTCGACGTTGGCGACCCTGAGCAAACCCCTTTGCGACACCAAGAACTGGCAAACCATCTTGGCTTTGTTTGCATTGGTATGATAAGAAAGCAACAAAAGGAAGGCCAAATGTGTGTGTGTGTATTTAACAAGCGGTTCCAAGATCAGTTGGTGCCAGGTTTCGCACATGCTTCACGGGCAATGGCACTGGCAACATCATTGGGGCCCTGCAGCTGCAGGACGACGCTGCTCATGAGGGCAGCTATTTTTCCATATTTTTCCAGACAGCGGGGTTCTTGATTGCATTGTTTGAGCCATGACAACCCCACAAGCTCCCATGCCGCAAGCCTAAACACCCAACCCTAGTAGGCCCTGAGAAGTTGGAGAGACAGAGCTGAAGTGCTGCGCACACTGGCAGGACCCTCTGAGCTTCCAGCAGGCCCGTCAAAGCACATCTTGGGTCCAGAAACCAGGGTCTTTGGGTCTTTGCCCATCTTGCAACTCAGCCCTTCTCCGGCCCTCTCCTTTTCGGCGTGGCATCGAAGATTCAAAGGTTTGGAAAGAACAGTCTGCTACTACGCGTCCTGCAGGTACTGGATGAGAAGTTCATCGAGCTGGAAGACAAGCAGGCTCGCGGCACAACGCCGAATATTACGTAGTGGCTGACGCATCCTACTTCGAACTTGTTTGAGTTCGACTCGTTCCAGCAAGTGCCATCCAGCCCGAGACCCGCTTGATCCTGCATCCGACTCAAGATGCTGTCAACCAGGCAGCAATGGTCGTGGACACCGCGCGCTATGAGCTTTTGGTCTCCCAGGCTTTCCTCGTCTTCCGGGATTCGGTTTCGGGGGGGATCTAGGGTCGTGTTGAAGGAGCGCTTAAAGCTTAACAAGCTTTGGCTTGTTCTTGAATTCTTGGGCTTGGGGTTTGCGGGAGGCTTTGGATTTCAGTACTCGTTTTGAGGTGCAGAGCCCCGGGGCCTGGGAGGCTGGTGTGGCTGTTAGGAGGATTGAGGTGACAAGTTGCTAGGGCTAGGCTGCTTGGGCTTGTGGGTTTGAGGCTTCTGCTTGGACCCACACGCGACTTCCTGCTGCATGACTCAAGGTAGTCATGTGTCACAGTCAAATCACAGGTTCCAAAACAAGTCGAGCAAGACAGCGCCACGAACCAAGCAAACTACAGCTTTATTGATGCAGTGTATCTTCTGTCCGCGGAGTCCGCGCAGCTTCGGCGATTCCTTCTGAGACAAGTGCAGATGTCTCGAAGTGAACCCGTCGCAGAAGCTTTTGGGCGTTCTTATCAACGAGCTTTCTCATGGCCCGTCACCTCAAGCCCAATACGCAATGAGTACTCCTCAAGCCCAGGCTTACCTCACGAATGGGAAGGAAGTGACCGGAACTTTTTCTTGGATCTGGGTGTTTGACCAGCATCTTGGGCGTGAATGTTCATGATTCATGTGTTTCCAGACCGCAACAGCTGCGCAGGTACCTGCAATGTTGCAATATTTCATGCAAGGTTCCTGCGGCGACCCTTTGACTTCGCGCCGAAACCGCCGAAGCCTGCCAGGAGGTTCGGCTCGGTTGTATAGGCTTCGAGAGCTTAAGTTATACTCATCCTCCGGAAGGAAGTACGATACGGCCGAAGTTCACAGACCGCCCCAGCGGGAGCCCTCAAAACCCAGGCGTCTGAAGCAACTTGGATTCTGGAAATAGCCTAAGAACCAGTCTCTCGGATTGTTTCTTGGACATCATGCCGTCGATTCTTCTTTGGGTTCTTTCCAAGGTCTGTCATGCGACAGGCAGAAGAGAACCAGTCTGACTTTGTTTTGCGCTGGAAAGAGCACTTCTCAGGCCGCAAGACGCTTGGCCACCTTGGTATTTTGTCCTTTTTGAAAACCCTGAAGACCCCAGCTGGCCGGGCCGGCTCGAACCGTGACTTTATGTTGCACAACCCTGATTCTTAATCCAGCTTGGCAGCAGAGACTCCCACAAGCCAAGGCAGAAGGCCATGACCCGGAAAGAGGTCCCTGACATCGCTGCCATGGAGGCCCTGAGATACAAGATAACATGGAAACTTTGGAGGATCAAGCCTCCTAGGGACACTATACCTTCAATTTGCGGTAGCCAAAAACCCGCCGATCGACACGTCCCCAAGCCCAAGAAGGTTCACCTTGAATTCTAGAAGCCAACAAGGCTTTTGAGCAAAACTTCAGACGATGGCTTCGGGCGCGGAGCCTCCAGGCAACATTGGAGCGAGAACCGACTGGAGATCCAGCAGCGTCTGAGGTGGGACGAGTGCAATCGGTTTGGGGCGGATGTTGCAGTTCGGGATGGCTAGGGCAGATGTTGTCGGTGTGATTACTATGTTTTAAGACTTGGAACATTGTTCTTTTTGCTTTTGGTTGTGGGCCTTTTGGAATTTCATGCTTGGCACTGAGGGAGATCCACCCTTTCCCTTCTTGTACTACCAGTACAAGCCGCTGTCGTCTTCCGAGAATGCGCAGGTACAGCCAGGCCATGGGTGGCGCAGGGCATACCACGGAACTTGGTTCTATGCCCTGCGCAGCATCCTGCATCATGGAGTGCTGCTGGAGTCCAAGCACGAAGAGAAGGGACACGCGTTTTCGAGTCCCGGCATTTATTTGAGCCCCAGCCTGGCGAGATCCATATGGTATGCCCGGCCTCACGAGATGTTCAACGACGGACTCTTCCATCGAGTGATGATTGAGGTACGATACGACCCCAGAAAGGTGACAGCATGTTACGGAAAAGCCAAAGACAAGTTGGTGGTCAGCGGCGATGCCGTTTCGATCTCCGGCATTATCATCCAGCCCAACTCTCCGCCCTACGGTGGAGAGGAGCGCTGTGAGAATTGGGATGATTCCTTGGAGACTTGTCTGGTAGGAGCAATGCATTGTGCATGGGTTGGTCATTGTTTTTTGTGCAGGGGTGGATATAATTGTCACTTTTTCCATACTTTCGGTGCGAGTGTCAAACATGTAACTTGTTGTATAGAGAAATCAGAAAGGAGATCATTCCCCACCCTGCCTCCTTGGAGCAGCATCGCAACAAGCGCCGGCGAGAATGCCGGCACAAGGTGGCGGATCGGAACAGACACGAGGCTCATGACGCTCATGGTCTGGAGCACAAAGGTCGGCAGAAGCACTCCTCATCGTGTGACGAGGATTCCCGTCACCATGTTTCAGATGCGCGGAGGCAACGTCGATCTTTGTCTTCTTTGCGAGCTGAGTTCTTGGCTTTCCCGGAGCCTCTGGAACCTCCGGAACGCCCACCGCTACCGCGAAAGAAGAGGAGGCCATGTTGACCATTGGCCATAGAACCGAGCTGCAGCATGCATCGAATTCGCAGCATGAGTTGTTTGTGTAGGTGATCTGCCCATGCACCCGCTAGTACAGACAGGACAGTGTGTTGTGCATGGGCAGACCAAGAAGTGATCTTTCTCGGTAGTTGTAGGGCTTTCTGCCAGTGTCCTTACCTTACTTCTCCAATTCCAGAATCTGGGATATGCTTGGGCATATCATACATATCCATTGCTAATATGAGAGCAAACTCAATACTGCGCTTGCTGTCCTGTCTGGAAGAAGTAAGAGACTTGTTGCGCAGCTGATATGATTTTAGACTGGTTTCACCCACTTTGGACGCAGGGGGCAAGTTAGTGATAAGTCGCGCGGATGGGTCTGCAGGAGGTAGTGTTCATGTCTTCTCCACCTCAGTAGATGATGCGCTTTGAGGAGCGCAGTTCCCTGAGTTCCTGCGTTCGTCTGGACCTACCGAATGTGCCTCATCGGAAACGTTCCGTAAGGGACGTCACTCCGAGGCAAACTGTGTAAATCTCACCACCTAGACGTAGGAAATGGCAGGAAATTGGGCGAGTTTTTTCAACAGCCCTCGCGCAACCTGACAGTCGATACTGCGTGCGGTTTCTTCACATTGAGCCCTGTGGATACATTTTTCCCATGTGGTGAAAGATTCCTGGCTACGGCAGTGGTTTCTCTGGGAGGTGGACGGCTCACGGTTCTTCGCTCCTAGACGTCGCATGTGTGAAGGGCTGTCCTTCAATATGTGAGCCTTCGACCTCCGAGGATGCAGCAGCCGGAATCGAACACCTGCTGGATGCCCGCCCGAGATGTGCAAACTGTGCAAGCTTAACGAACACCCCACAACATGCCTTGCAGCGGTAGCCTGCAGATCTCATGGTTGATTCGGGGTCGGTGAGTTCAACGGCTCCTCATGCCTGGGTTCTGAACGCCTCGACCGCAACAGGAGTTATAGTTCAAGCCTTTCAGGGAGGCAGCAAGCCTGGTGCCTCCAAACACCTCCTCTCAACTTCGCAACCCAACTTGCATAGGGAGTCCATGTGAGGCCACACTCTTCGGGGGCCTCTTCCTCTTGGAGCCTGCTGGGAGCCCGTGGTCGTTTGCAGACGCCAGAGATTGCCATAAACCCCCCCCCCTCTCCAAGCAAAAAAGCACCGCCCTCCGCGAGGTAGCCGTAGTGTTTGCCCAGGTCAGAGGGGGTGGCTGGGGCTTATTCTTAGCTTGCCTCCTAGGACCAACCCCTCGCTTTGGATCCGGCCTGGGCCTCCAAGCTCCTTGGGAGCTCCCTGGATCCAGATGACCAGGTGCGGTGCTCAGTCCGGCCCAGAGTTCTCAGTGTTTTTGTCAGGTTGTTATCGAAAGCGGAATTGACACTCTGACACGTTGCCACTCGGCTCGCTTGTTTTGCCGAAGGGGGCGGGGGGGGGGGGGGGGGGTACGTCCAAACATGCTGCGGGCGGAGCCTTCCGTTTTAGCGGCGGACGCTAATAAGACCTTGAAAGCCCAATTCAGGAGCCTAACTAGTTGCCACTGTCACCTGCTTCTTAATCCCCATATAATTCATTCACTAATTTCGCATACTGTCTAGTTACCCTAACGACCCGTCCTAATTGAATAGACCCCGATAAAAAGCCGCCTGGCCGCCTAGAGCAGAGAGGTTGGACCTGACGGTGAGTCGCTGATCTATGGCCTCAACACGCCGCATGTCGTTGACATCGGGGGGGAAGGGAGGTGTTGAGGGGATTCCTCAGATCTGTGAAAAACACGCAGAACGCTAAAAATCCCGTCTGAATCACGAACTGCGTCGAAACCTTTGGGTGGAGTGCTATGTGCACGGAGTCTTCTAAGAAATCAGCGAAGCATCGGGTTTGCGGTTTCGGGCTTGGGGTGCAACGACGGTAGGCTCCAAGCCTTGTGCCGTGCTGCCCGTGGGTTTTGGACTTTGTTTCTTGGAGAACCGAACCCGGGCCCAGCAGCACGTGGTCAAGAGTCTAGAGTGTGCTCGTCACTGAATCGTGCCCACGATCTGCAGTGAGATTGATCTTGAATTTCAACGCCATTCGAGTAGGTAAATTGAGCCAACTTTCGCTCTGCGTGCACCTTCTTCAGGTATGCTTCGCCCTTCGGCTGCAGCAATGTATTTCTTTGTGTTTAGTTTCACGGCTGGTGTTTGCAAGAGGTCTCGATGCTTCCACACCTGAGCCCCATTCTCAAAGCTTCTGCCCTAAACCTTAATCCCCACCGACACCCTAAATAAACCCTGCAAAAATAGACTATGGCTCTTGCTTCGTTGGGGGGAAGGTCCATCGCTGGACCGGGCGAGTCCGGCGCCCGGCCTTTTTTCTGCGGAAAGGGAGCGCTTGGAGCTTTGACTTTTCAAGCCTCTCAATCCAACTAAGCCTGCTTCCTGTCAGGGCCCCAGCAGCTCTTTCCCTGCACCCGCAGCCCGAGGTATGCCTTTGAGCACGGCACCTCAGGCGGCGGGATTCTGATCACCGCCACAGAGCCCTCAGAGGCACTCTAGAGGAGTTTCCAAACACTTCCAAGGTTTTTGAGTTGGGGGCGGGGGCCACCTGGGCCATGCCAGAGCAGGTAGCTGTGCCCTCGCCTGCCTTCTTGAAGCCCTTGGTCCTATGGACCTCCACACATCAACAACTTCGAAGATCCAGCATGGTGCGGCACGAATTGCTGAGGATGTCCTCTTCCTCTTACCCCTGCGCTGGTCTCATTGTTATATCAGGGAAACCTATGTGTGCGGCGATGAGCCTTGTCTTGCTTTCTGAGTTGTGAGAGTCTTCGCCCTTGACGCTTCTGCCTAGATCCGAGCTCCCCCCCTTCCGAGACCCCGCAACTCTATCGCCATAGCTCGAAGCTCCAAAGCCCCAGGGGCAACCCTGTGCCAGGCATCAGTCAGCAACCTCCCTCTCCGAACGCAGAATGCACCCGGGCCTTCAGATTAAGACGGTTTCTTTTCAAGTCTGAGGTTTGTGCGGGCATTGGGGTCACAAAACGGGGGGGAGAGACAACAAGGGGGGGGCTCTTGGGCCCCCCGAAAGCCCTTGTTGAGACTTCGGAGGGCTTGTGGGATGAGATTGGGCCGCGGGGCTTTTTGGTTGCACGAGTTGCTGCTGCAATTTAACACAAAAACTTCCCACTGCTGCTCAGACCATGCTTTTCTTTCTTTCGAAGACCGCTTCCTCGTGTAGTTCAGACCTACATGGGGGGCTACTCTACAGCAGCTGCAGTTGCAAGGCACTGGCCTATGCTCGACTCAAGGAGCAGGTTCTTTCGGAGGATCGCCTGCTGCGCAGCTTGGTCACAAGATATTCAGGTCCCATTCTCGAACCCAACACCGGAAGCCCAAAGAAGCCCGGCACTGAACTCAAGATGACGTTGAATACATCCCTCAGGGTGCCCGGCAATGGTTCTTGTAGCTGTCATCCCTTCTCCATTCCAGGAGGCTTTTCGTAGTTTACGTCTACGAAGGTTAGCTTGTGGCTTTGTGGCTTTGTGGCTTGCGTAGCCCTTTAGCAAAGCAACATGTCGGCGGCTTGCTCAGGCTGCGATGTAATGGACGGCAACTATGTGGTTACCGCACCATGCTCGCAAGTAGCTTCAGCTGATGCCTGGAGTGTTTCGACCTCACCTCAATGGCCGTACCTCATTCGACTACATGTGTTTCAGCACTATCGGGTCAAGCACCACTTTCCGCATTTCTCCCTTCCGTCCCAAGTCGGAGATGCCATCGGGGGATGCAAGTGTGTAGGAACCTGTACACCTTGCTCAGGGAAAGGCTTGACCATATCTTGAACCATTAGGGTTCTTTTCGCAAGAGCAAGCAGCCAGGACATCAAGCCTTAGCAACTAAGTCAAAATGATGTTGCGCGCGGAATGATTGAGGAGCGCTTCTGCGCCTACGAGGATTTCAAGGCCCGTGACAACATGAAGCTACATGAAGCTGCTCTTGTGGTTGTGAGCCAGACTTGTGTGATTCGATCTCGAAGCACTCGGCTTTTTCAAGGATGCGGTCCTGCAGGGCCATCTCGTTGCCTTGTCACTACCTCACCACCATTAGCCTTAGACCCTCATAGACTTGTCCACTGCCATTAAAGCCTTATACCATAAGATTGTCCCTTCTTGGCGGTGGCAAAGTTAGATCGCACCTACACCTGTAGTGCACATAAACTCTTTAAGCTCTTGGCTCCTGTGGGCCCCTGATCCTGCTGACCACGCATGCGCCCAGCCATTTCCTCCACCCACAACTCTTCGTAAAGGTGCATGTCCGAGACATGGCGGAGCAGGCTCCCCGCAGCGGGCAGAAGTGAGGAGGAGGAGGACGAGGACGAGGAGGAGGACGAGGAGGAGGAGGAGGAGGAGGAGGATTTCAGGGTTTGCTGGCACTGGCACCAGCGGTGTCAGGGTTTGGAGAAGGTTTTCTGGACTTATTGGGCTTCAATGTGGAGAGACTTGAGGTTGTCAAGAAGCCCCCTTTTGATGCTACCTCTTGGCACTACCTGTGCATCCACCATGCTGTTCCATCCTCGTGCACTTCACACCTAGTGACATACATACGCACTCCCTTTTTTTGCAAGATATGGACAAAAGCCACCTGGTCTGGCCGTGGTGCAGAAGCCTGGTCAAGCAACAGCTTTCAACCGCAAGCCCCTGCAAACCTTGCACACCTGCGGTCACACGCCTTTCAAAAGCTCCAGCACCAGGTGCGCGCTGCTGGGATGGTGCTGAGCACGCAGGCCAGCATGGCCGAAATTTGATGCTTCGGCCGGCCAATACCTTGTGTTAGGTTTCCAGGCTCAAAGAAAAAGACTTCAGCATTGCGAGTTGGGAGCTTGTCGAGGATGTCGGCCTAGCAGGGAGTTTGCTGCAAAGGGCTTACGGCAGTTCTTCCAGTCTTAGGAGGTGGGAGAGACGTCGGTATCCCAGACCCCAGGTATCCCCAGTGGCCCAAAGCCTTCGCAGGCCAATGCCGCGAAAGAGTTACTTGTCGCAGCCCTGGTCATGTGGACCGCTTGCGTTCCTGCTCGGCCAAACAAGAGGATGGAAGTGTTTGGGGCCGAAAATGGGTTTTGCGAGCCAAACATTCCTGACACTCAAAGCTGCCTGGGTCTCCAGTCACAGGCCTGATTTTCTAATCTGGTCTGAGTTTGCAGGCTCGGATTCTCGGGCCACGTTTGATAGCCACAAACAATCTGCAAACTTTTAGGGCACAGAAAATGTGGAGACTTAGGCTTTGGGAGAAACTTAGGTTTTAACTTTTTGACAGGCACCAAAAGTGTGTCCCCTCCCAATGGCCGCGCGTAGCTTTTCTTGAGTATAGACAGGACCTCAAAACGTGTTCCGCGGACAGCCCAAGCTTAGCTTCGTAAAGATTTGAGGTGTGCTTGTTTTCTTTCTGGCCGAGGAAGCCTGCCGTGCAATCAACCTCCAGCTACCCTTGAGCCGAACTTGAGCTTCCAAGGCCACTGACCTGAAAAGCACCTTGCAGAGCATCCTCATGGAGGTGCAGCAGCTCAGGACTGTTCTAAGAGGGCCCTTTGGGATGGCATTTCGGGCTTCGGTGGAGGAATCAAATGTCGTTTTCTCAACTCGGAGCGCCTTCCTATCTGACAGGACACTCCTTGGGTGCCGCTTCCTTTGGAGACGATGGGCCGGGGACTCAGATTTCAATAGTCAAAAGCACCTCATGTTCGCCTTCTCGTAATCTTGGCACTAACAATTTTTTGGTGTGCTAGCAGGAGTCGGCATGTTCTTTGCCCAAGCCCTGCTCCGCAAACAAAGCTTTCTCAACCGTCAAAGCAAGCGTTGAGGTCAGACTTTCGGGAGACTGTTGGCCCCCCCCCCACCAGGAAGACTTCGACTTTACGCTTTGCAACGTGGCCCTGCCAAATGCCATCGAGGCGGCAGTGCAAGATGGTAACAGCGCTGCTCTCCGATTGTCTTCCCTCTCCTTGCTTTTTGTAGTTTTCTCTCGCGCTCTCTTTCCCTCTCTCCTCTCTCTCCTTCTGTCTTTGTCTTTGTCTCTTTTCTCTCTCGCTCTCTCTCTCGCTCTCTCTCGCTCTCTCTCGCTCTCCCTCCAGCCTTTGTTCTTTTCCTCCCTGCTTTTCCTCCTTGCATTTGCCAGTGTACGGTCGCCTCGCTCGTGCTGGCAGTGGCTGCTTTGCTTCTGCATCTGGGACGCAGAGATGTGGTTGCTGATGTCTCCGGTTTGTTCGGTGTGGGACTGGGAAGTGGAACACAGGTCTGCATATCCAACACATCCATCCGCGCCGCATTGTCAAGCCCGACGCTCCCCTGAGCATTCCCAGGGCGTTCGTCCACTACAAAATGTGGCGGCACTTGCTGGACAACAAGGTCGTCGGCGAGGTGGGGCTTTCGGGAGTCCTAAAGACCACACATGGCCACTTTCACAAAGAAACGCGTTTTGGGCAGCGGGCGGGAATTGGGGCCGCTGGCCACAGGAACTGGAGAAGTTCTCCAAGAAGTATGGCTACTTGAAGACAAGGCGCAGGGCTCGACGGAGCAAGTTTGCAAGAGCCAGGCACAGTTCAGTTATCGTGTTTGTCCAGTCACCTTGGTTCAACATGCCACGCAGACGACCCTCAAAGCCCGCACTTCCTCGCAGCATAAGCTTGTGTTCAGAACCCTGTTACAGAATCATACTCCTGATCAATCATCCCCGAACCGAGTTAGAGTCAGTTCGGTGGAAGATGGAATCCACCCACCGAAAGCCAAACTCGGAGGCCAAAGCCCTGAAAGCCTTGAAGCCCCTTTGGAACTTCAGAACAGCAGCCCGCAGGAAGTGAATTCAGCCTCCAGACAGGCTGTGCCTACGGGGCACCTGTGAAGTCCTCAAGCGTGGCAAGGGCCAGCTTGTAGCTTGGGGCTTTGGTATGCCATCAGTTAGAACCCGTGGAAAACTCTGGATCCTTTAGCAGAAGCGTTTCCAGATGTTTCTAGTGACGATTCTAGTGTATCCTCCCAGCCCCTGAACCCCTGCGCAACAGCAAGAGCAAGCGCCATGAATCGACTCACAGGAAACCTGTGCGTCTAGCTTTTGTGGGCGAAAGACATAGGCAGGCGAAGCCTCCTATGGTTCAAGACGTGGCGCGTACCCCTTCCAGCTGAAAGGAAGTCAGGCTTGGCAGGGCGGTCAATCCACACCCGCGGCAGTTTTCGAACCACTCTGGTATCATGGCAGCGAGGCTACCGCCGGCTCACAGGAATAAGCAGCTCACCATGCAGTTCTCACCCTCAATAAGTTATCTTGAAGCCCTGTCGAGGTGTGCATGGGCGCGGGAGCAGAAGCCGTAAGAACTTCATAGTTTATAATCAGAAGCGCTCGATCATACCCGATCAACGTTCTGAACTCCCAGCCCCCGGATGAGCCTACTCTTGCTGACATGGCTCCTGCGGGCGGCCCAGCACCCGAAGAGTAGCATGACGATTGTAGACTCCATGCCTTCCAAGTTGTGCGGCGACTTTTGAGTCTCGGGCTACCGGTAGTTTCTCATCCTAGCATGTGGCCTCAAAGTCTGTCAGCTTGGTCAAGGCAAGGGATGTGTGGAGTTTAGAGTTTAAGGGTGGCACCATCCAAACCCTCAAGACCTTTGAATGCGGAAAAGCCCTGGATGGCGAGGCTGGGCTCTCGCCTGGGCGCTTATCTGGGCTCCGGCTTATCCCTGCCTCCGCCCTTCGACACCCTCAGCGCCGAGGATCTGCGACGTGCCTTGGACATACCTGACCTTGTTGCTGGAGCCGCGCTTCGGAATGCTTCGGAATGCTTGGGGATCTTCGGGGATCACGGAGCCTCCACACTCAAAAAGTGGTAAACAAGCGGGTGTTTAGGGGCAAGTGCCCAAGAACCCCAAGCATTCGATCAGCATCTCCGAGCATCTCTGGCTCTGGGCATCCCTAGAACCTGTCAGGCGCCGCCGCAGACTTGCTTTTGGGACGTCTCAACTGCTCGGCCACCGGTCCGGTTCACGGAGGGTCGGTTGTCGGTTTCGGAAGCTCAAGGACAGCTATAATACCTGCTGTATAACTTCGATGACACCCACAAAGAATGCACTCTTGCCTGATCGCTGAGCAAGCTTGTAAAACCTAGACCCTGACTTCAGCAGCAACGTTCAGTGTTTAGGCCCTTAGGGAGGGCTTGTCCTTCTGGAAAGGAAGCATGCAAAACCTGCAACACCGCAGTGTCATCGTGTACCAGAACGGTTGGTGGCGAATCCCAATTCAGACTCGACCCGGTTCCTGACCTGCCCCCCACCGAGGCCAGGAAGCCCTAACGCTGCAGGCGCACGGTGGCCAAAGCCTGCAGTCGCATGTCAGATCCGGGTTGACATTGGAGGCAAGAGCAGGATTCTCAAGCGAGCGTTCAAAGCAGAACCTTTCCACGTCTCCACCCCGAGAATGGCTTTTGTTCGCCAATCTGCATGAACCAATCTTCCCTGAGTTGCTTAAAAGACATTTTTGTGGGGCGTCGAACAAAATATCCCACAGTTTTGTTCACATGTTTGAGCATAGTTTTTGAGAACAGCCCGGAAACACAACTTCAAATCTTCTAAGCTTGCAGCCGAAAATGGAACAGGCAAGCTCATGGCAATTTGAGGTGCCTGAACAACAGCAACAAAGCTGGAACATACTTACTTCAACAACTTCTTCGACTCTTTCCGGTGTCTGCTTTCAGCCCTGCCCTCTTTTGCTTGCTCCACCCCCCTCAGAAAAGCCCAGCTGCCACCAAAGCTGCGCAGTCTCCTGAATAGCTCTCGACTTACTACAGCTGCTTATGGGTCCCCCAAGATATGAGGCCAAGAGGCCCGAGCCACTGGGAAACCTGTGAGGCCCTGCGGCGCTTCGGTGCAATTCCCAACTCCTGCTGGGCCGCCGGCCTGAGTCGAGCGCCTCGTTGCCGCCTGGGGGGGGGGTGGCTTTTTGGAATTTCAAGCCTGGCATTCCGAAGACTTGCTTTGGGGACGCGGTGGAACTGCCTGGGGTGTTTAGGACAAGTTCGAAGCCTTTTTTTAGGAGCCCCTTGGGTTGCTCAAAGGCGCTCTGCTGCGCTGTGCCCGACATGAGCCCTTGCTTCGCCGAAGAGGCGCTGCCTGCTTGGGCGCACCCTATGAAGTCCTAGAAGCCACGTAGGCCAGGAGAGTGGGGGGAGCGACTGTGAGAGTCAAAAAGCCAAGTTTGATGACCCCTTTCTGCATCTCATCCCCCCGTCAAAGGCAGGGCGGGCAGCCGAGACCCGCAAAGCCATGCCCCCATGACGATCTTGAACTTTGCGTCCCTACATCTCCACAAGCCTTATTTCCAAGCCCTCTATACGCATCTGTGCGCATGGTCAGGAAGGCACGTCCTCGCAAAAATGCTGCGAGGAGGCCCGCTTGAAGTTGGAAATCAGCCATCAGCTGACAGAATTAGGATGAGGAAGAACGAGGTCCTGAGTCTCTTTTTCAGAAATACCATGGCAAACGCCCCCAAAAAACAGTTGCAAATCCAGCTTAGCCTTGGGACAAACTGTATTGGTAACTGACGCAGTCGCATGTTGCGACAGCATGCAGCAGGCCCTGCAAATGGTGTTGAGGCACTTCATAGCAGGCATTCACAGCAGGCACAGTTCGGCAGCGCACTAAGACCATAGCCTATGGCTTTAGGCCGCGCTGGAGTGGATGCAGCGCGCACTCCACCTTAGGTTGTGAACTAGACCGTGAACATGTGTGCATCGGGTGGTTCTTTTGCAGGTAGACGTTTGTCTGCTTGCCTTCGAGGCGGTTCTGGAGCAGGCTCGTCGTCCGCAAACGGCCTCAAGGGTTATTTAGGGAACACCTCGTAGACTACGATACGACGCCTAACATCAAAACTTGTGGTGGAATTGATGGGATCAGGATGCGGAATGCTTACTTGCAGCTACGATACTCCGCATTCCAAAGCTGCTTCGGCTCAGCTGGGAGAAGCACCGCGCCGCCACACTTCCCCAACCGGTTCGACTTGGCACGTCTCTTTAAAAGCTTAATTCTTTTTTTGCCATGGACGGCCCTGGAGCCCTGGCGAGATATTGGCAGCTTAGAGCTACTGTCAGGAACCACATGGAACCAGGCTTCGTCCCTTTTTGAAGAGTTGGGTTTGAGGACTGGGTTCGTTCCACACCGCTCAGGATGGATCAGGTTGCCCTATGCGGAGGCAGACTCTCCGAAGCGACCCGCCCATTTGCCTCGATGCAACTCGCTCTACTCAACCAGGGTGCCGCTTGCTTGCCCTTGGTAACGACTCCTTTGGCAAGCTGAATCTTTTGACATTTGACGTCGAACCCGGGAATCCTCATTCCAGAATTGCGGCTAAGTTCCTTGAGGGGTTTTGGCGAGCAACTCAGGCTGCCTTCTTGTCCGACGACTCTTGCTCCTGCCCCGCAGCTGAAGTCCGCGGGAGGGAGACTTGTTGGGAGCCGATTTCGGGTTGCTTTTTTGGCTTGGGCAGTCCTGGTACAAACCCTCAATCCGGTGACTCCGGTGGTCCGCGTTCGGAGGTTCTCAACGTGAGCCGCGGGAGCCGCCAAATTGAGCCCCGGGCTACAGGGCTTAAGAATCTCGCTCCATACATGAAACCTCCGCCAAATTATGGAGAATCTTAGGAGACCTCTCATGAAATGGGGTGAGGGGTGTCCTCCAACTGGGGGACATTTGACGCCCATGGCCAGGGTGGCGAATCACCCCCCACAGACGCTCCCTCACCTAGTAGCAGAACAGTGGTGCTGAGGGGAACCGTAGCCGCAAATTCCACAAGTCCGAAAATCCGGAAGCCTTATTCGGAGGTGAAACCGGCCCAGCCGCCTGCCGGCAGCTACACAGCCCAGCCCATGTTGGGCTCCAGTGCCTCGCTTTGTCGACACTCACGCAGTTGTTATTGTGTGTGTGCACAGAAAAAACAAAAAACAATGAGGCTGCTCTGCGGGTCTTTCAGTTGTTGGAGACAGGTGCTTACTTCTATGCCGGTACTGGTTCCAGTGCCGTTAGCCTGCCTGCTGGATCCAGCAGCCACGTGCCGGCGGGCTCGAGCACCGTGAGTCTGCCGGCAGGAACGCCGGCAGGAAGCTGGGCTATTCTCCATTTCCTTGATACTTTTTGTTTAAATACTTTTTGATGCTTTACCTAAACGAGGCACAGGCAGAAACCAGCGCATTCTCAGCACAGATGAGGAAGTGGGCACTACGTGACAGCTGGTTCTAGCGCGGTCACGTTGCCAGCTGGCGCCGGCTACCACACCATCCCAGCTCCACCCATGTCAGGCTATGCAACACCTTCCCGGGTCAGCTATGTGGCGACACCGCAAAGGATGATTGTAAGCTTCTTTGCTGCAATTTCGGTGCCTTGGAGGTTGCACCCCGCCTTCTTATAGGTGCACTTATGGGGAGCGCCGTGGAGTGGTTGAACCTCACGCCATTTAACCCATCACACTAGGTGCGCGGCGCACATCTCGCCGTGCGTTTTCGTGCAGAGATTGAAAATTAAGATGGCTGGAATTTGCAAAAAATGGTGCTATTTACAAGGTACTCGGCGTCCTGAGAGGTGGGAGCGCGTTATAAACGGCACTCTAAGGGGGAAACACGTATTTTAGTGTTTTCGCCTAGGGAATTCACTCCCTTTAAGGAGTTCTGAAATGCCTAAAACTACTTTCCGTTTTCAAGGATTTTAGGGCTTTCAGGGGTTTAGAGTTTAGGGGCTTAGGGATGTTTTAAGGTGTAGGGCTTTATAGGAAAAGTTGCTTGAGGATTCTGGGGCAGTAGGATTTCCGGAATCAGGTTTTGGGAAAACCTCAACGCAGAACCTCAAACCCAGAGACCTCGACCCTAAGCCCCACATCCTCAATCCTCAGTCCTAGCCCTAAACCCTGGGACAAAGCAGAGCCGTAAGTACCCTTAAACCCCCTAAGCCCTATACACCCTAAACCCTAAACCCTAACCCCCCCCAAGCCCATAGGGCGGATTTAGCAAGTCGGAGGGCTACGGTTTAAGTCTTAGCATCTGCAGAGTTGCCAGAGGCCTAAACCCCGAAGCCCAACATCAAGGCTAAACTCCAAGCCCCAAACCCTGCAAACTGGAGCACTAAATGACTGAGGACATGCTGGCAAGTTGCAATAGGGGGGGCGGAATTATCCCCCCCCCCCCCACCCCCCCCCCGCCACCCCACCCAAGAAACCGAAGGAAACCACGCGGCGAGATACGCGCCGCGCTCCAACTAGTTAGCTGGACCCCTGCCATGGCACGGTGTGCTGATTCATTGCTTGAGAAAGGGAGAGGACTTGTGAGCAGATGTTATCTCATGAAGCTTCTGATTCTTGACATGTTTATTTTAGCTTGGGTCCTTTGCTCTGAATGGTTGTGCGGGCTTGGTGCGCGCTCATGCAGCATGTAATCGCAACTTTGACATGCAAGCAGACTTCAGCCCACCTCAGCTGGCCGAGGTCAGGCACCTCCACGCATGGTGATTCGACCGGCCTCTGCCATCGGCCCGGCAGCTTTGCCAACCAAACCGGCGGCACCCGAGGTGGCCGCACCGGCCACGCCGGCACCCGAACCAACGTCACCAGAGGCCCCGACCCGCACCGCGCTGACTGAAGAGGAGGCGCCGACTTTGGGCGACGAGCCACACCCACCACCTCACCCACCTAATGGGGAAGACATGAAGAATTCCGTCTCTGTCTTTTGGTTTAGCACATGCGCAAGGTGGCGTGCTGGGAGCTGTTTGTCTCCTCACCCTACCCCTTCCCACGCCCCTCCCTTCGTAGCAGAAGGAGTTAGACAGGTTTTGAACCCACGACAGCAGATTGGTTTTCTGACAGATAGATACCGCACAAATGGAAGCACGATGGCCGCAAAAATTTTGTCGCCCCATACATACATTCACTTCACGTGCAGCCGCCGAGAAGCTGTTTACACTGACGTCAGTGATGAGGAGAAGCGTGCCCTGAGCGCCATCAAGCAGCTCTTCGACGGGCGTCCTGTGGCCCAGGAGGGGAGGACATACCAAGTCAGGCAATGAGCTCGCCCATGTATTGAACCGTCCGCATGGTGTGGTAATGGGCTACACCTTACGTAATCTGACACTCAAAGGATTTCAAGATCGAAGCTGTCCAAACTCCGTCCAACGAGAGAACCATGTCCTGGAGACCTGAGGCCCAGGATGCACTGAACAATATGAGATTGAACATTATCCGATCATGCAACTGTGCTTCCGGGACTCACCGATACCCGAGAGCTTCAGCACTTAGGCGGACTTCGTTTAACACGGTGGTTGTGGACAACAAACACGACGGAAGCAAGCCTTTGCAACCAAAGCAAGCAGCGAAGATATAAGACTGGCCTCTTGAGCAGCAGCGTGCGAAAGCACGAAGAAGCAACAAGAAACATTGGCAAAAATGCCATGTCACACACAGCACAAGACTTTCTGGATTCTGCTGCTTTAGAAGGAGCGAGCACACAAGAACTTATCCAGCAGCATACAGGGCAAGGAACAGCGTGGGAAGTAAATGTACTCTTCCGCCTTAGTACGCCCCAATGTTTAGTGGACGAAACAGACAACCTTCGCCGCTAGACGATTCAGAGGTCAAGTTGCGTGAATCGCAACTGGGGCTAAGGTCACCCCAACGGCCGCATCTGTTTCTGCCCACCAGGTGCGCTCAGGGCTGAATAGGTTTTCAGGTCGCTGGGCACGGGCAGCAAAACAAAGTAAGGTCGTGTCGCACTTGACAACCCCCCCCCCCTCCCCCCCGAGACCTGCCTCTTGGACACGAAGCTTGACAGCCTGGCCTGAACGATCAAGAGCCCCGAAAGCCGAACCATCCTGGATGCTTGGACACCCGCTAACCATGGCAGCTGACATGGAAGAGTTCTACCTTGAGCTTGAGCGGGAGAAGTACCTTTGGCAACGAGATCCAAAGAGGCCGGGAGATTCGGTCAAGTGGTGAGCTTCATGACGTTTGGTCGTGAATTGGGGGGTGAGTGGGTTGCAGAAGGCATCCAACCCCGCTCACCTAGGATCAACCACCCGATAATTATGCAGGAAGTGCAGGGTGGTCTTGCGTCCGATGGAAATGGAGGGAAATGCAGCAGCCGAAGCAGGCATGTGAAGCTCAAGGGCCCAAAGAGCGCAACCTGTCTGCAAGTCGGTTGAGGAGAGTTCTGGCCACGAGCAGTGTTCGGTTTCAGCTTATCCCCAACCAGCATTGAATCATGCTTCGGGGCCCTGTAGTGGTAATGCCCCAAAATTCCCAAGCACTGAGGTGGTTGCTCCCCATCTGCGGGCAGACTCCGATACGCGGCTGTATGCAAGCTGGCTCAAAGGGTTGACAATGGGTAGCTTAGCAATGTTGAAATCCAGAGCATGATGCCGTGATTGATGGTCATCATTCACAAGTTTCACGAAGCTTTCCTCCGAAACAACATAGCAGCTGAACCCAATGAAGAAATCCAAACTCCCACAGAAGCTTCTCGGCAGCAGGTGCTAAGATGCAACAAGGGCCCCTTCGGAACCTCCCCACATGGCCCTTCACACCGCCAGAGACCATCAGATGGACATTGGACCGAATCCTCCATGTTTCCAGATCATGGACCATGTAGCCTACCATGAGGATACCACGGGCGTATTGTAGAGTGATCGGTGCGGGAACCTGGCGCAGGCTCTACTTGAGGAGTAACAATGCACAACCAACCGACACATGTTTCATTCCAAGACAGCAGCCGAGAGCATCACTTCCAAAAAAGAAACGCAGGTGCTGGTCTGGCACACAGACCCTCACAGACCAACAGCAAGGAAACTCTCCGTGGGCTCGGACCGGCTACGAGCTTCTCTCACCAGATCCTTGCTACAGGGAAGCTAACCGACTCATACCGAATCGACAGGACCTTACAAACTCCAACACGTTGCACCCTGAAGCCCGAAGTGGCAGGCGGGGGAGAAGCTCAAGAATCTCGTGGACGAGTTCGACACCAAGCAGAAGATTGCAGGTCGCTGGATTTTTAGGGATTTGGGCTTGCATCCCAGCCTCCGGCTAACTTCTTTGGACTTGCTTGCATCCAAAGTCCGGCAGGCAAGATCAGACAGGAGTGGGCCTGGGACCCAGCAAGTTACAGCAGGCGTCTGCAGTCTCTGTGCGCTCGGTCTTGGCTTCCCATTCTGCCCCGCAAGCAACTGAGAAATCCCCACAAATCTCCACACGTCTCCACACAGTCTGTCGGTTTACATGAATGGCTTGGCTGCTTTGCGGGCTGCTGGTGCTTGATCACGTCCGCACTTTGGTGGCCGCATTCGTGCCTGTGCGCATGGTCACAAGGTCAGTGTTCTCACCATTTCTGCTAGATTCTAGATTGCAGTCTTGCAGTCCCATCCGGGCTTTCTTTTTACCTCACAGATCTCGAACCCAGCCACGACAAGCCAAGCAAGCTGCAGAAGCTCAGCACACTTCAAATCACTTGTGAGCCATTGTGCCTCGAACTCCCAAAACATCCCCCGAAACTCTTTGAACCTAGGAGGTGGAGCAGAGAGCCTTAGAGCGGGCTGAGTTGGCAGCAGCAGCTGAGAAGGAGCGTGTGGAGCAAGAGGCCAAGCGCAGCGTGTAGAGCCTGCAGAGCCTGTAGAGCGTTAGGGCCCTGTGGTGCCACTGCATACATGACGAGTGCAGCCCATTGGTACTTTCTGCAGATGCATGGCAGCTCAGGGGCCATGTGGCACTGCCTCCATGTAGTCAGTGAGAGCAGACGCATGCTCTCCCAAACAGATGTCTAGCACTCAAGCGCGAACTTCGGAAAGGCATCGAGAATGTAAGCTTACCCTTAGACTCCGTAGTCACCTGTTGAAGTGGCTCCGTGGCGTTGAGAAATGGCTCTTGGGTTAAATGATTTCGTGTGGCTGCCGTTTTAGATCTGTGGCGGCGACAAGGAGGTGCGCGCTCCATGCATGGAAAGGAGGATGCTGGCACGCTTGATGGCGATGGCCCTGTGCAAAAAATAGCTTTCATTTGAACAGCCTTGTGCAAGTTTGACACGTTTGTTCACGTAGGCTGCCGAAGCTTTGCACCAGGAAACAGGGGGAGACTTCCGAAGTGACAGCCCAGTAAGTGTAGCAGTCTGTAGCAGTGTAGCACTTCCGAAGAGTGCATACTGAGTCATTGAGGATGCTTGGACACCTTTTGGCACTCTTGTCCCTTTTGCGGTGCTTAGTCCAGCTAGGCGGGTGGCAGAAGCCACCTTTCTTCTGGAAGTAGCATGCGACGGCAAACAGTTCCAATTCACAGCCCTGCATGGCACGGCTGCCACATGTGGGCTGGCCATACTGAAAAGGGATGAACAGGCGATGGGCGACGGATTGGAGCCCGGGAGTCTTCAAGGTTGAAACGCCCTAAACAGTCAGCTACTGGCAGGCACCTAATCAGTCATGACTCATGCATGTCATGGCATAGTGCATGATACGCATTTGTTCGCACTTTGGATTCGATGACCTGGCCAGCGCACGATCTTCGAAGGCGTCTGTCAGGCAAAAAGTCCTGGCCCAGTCATTTGGGGCCACAGACGCGCCTGGGTGTGCCTCAATACTGTTTGAGGGGCTCATCCCGCAGAGAGGTTTATACAACACGCATAATCAAAAGACCCCGACTGCCTCACGGCTTAAAGTGCTTCTGAAAGCAAAGAGGCTACATCGTCAAAGCAGTTGTCAGAGAAGAGGCCTTGCCATTGCTCGCATTGAGACACGCCCAACCCGGCACCTCACATTGCACAGAGCATACCGCAACACGAGCCGTGAAGACAGGCATTGTCCTTCTGGTTTGAAAAAAGTCACAGGGTTCCGAAGCATTTTGAGATATTTTGTTGGGCGTTGGGCTGGGCTTGCCGGCATTGGGTTGAGATGCCAAGCTTGTTCGTGGGCTTGCATTGGATTCACCCAACATTCCATTGACTCGATCCCGGCGAGCGTAGTCCATAGTCTGCAGGCTGCACTTTCAGTTCCGTGCTCCAACAGCCCGAAACCCGTCAGAAAAGTTACTGCCTGGAACCTTTTACCAAAGTGGAGAGCCGGGGGCCACTCTTCGCTTCATTGGGCTTTGCTATGCGTCTCTCTCTATGTCTCTCTCGGACTCTCGTTTTCTCTGTCTCCAACGTACATCCCGAGCTCCAGGATAGGAACAATGTGGGACATTTCACAGAATGCAAAAGGACCCGGTCTAGCCGGGAATGCAAAGGGCCCCGAGCCATTCTTTTATGAGGGGTGGAGATTTTTGGATGTTCAGGAAGTTCAGGGGTGGAGGGCACCCCCTGGGAGGGGCTTGACAGGCGACCTTTGCCAGCTGCGAGGACTTCCTGCACTGTGCAGCACCCATCTTCGGGCCTTGCGTCCTCTGGTCCCTAGAGGCTCAGTGACATGGAGAGTCGGGTGTTCACCCTGTCCTCTTCTCAGATTTCCTTCTTTTGGCCCGAGGGTCTAACCAAGGGAGAAGCAGTAGGCGCAAGGAATGCCAGAATGTGCAAATTCGTCAATCAGGTGTCCAAAGACTAAGCGTACTCTCCCTTTGTTAAACTCGGCCTCGTACATCTGAATCCAACTGTGTTGGCCGAAGTCTCTCTCTAGCTACACTTCCAACAAGATGCACACACATCGCGTTCATGCATGTCTTGAACCTGTCAAGGCAGCTGCCTTGAACTCCAAAGCTTGCGCCTGTTAGAGCCTCACATTGAGAGAACCCCCTCCATCCTCCTTGGGCTTGACACACGCACGGAACTTGGCCAATCCCGAACTTCTGGTATTAGAAGCGGGATCTGCTAAATGCATCTACAATCATCCACTTGAGCTTCTCAGTTACTTGCAGAACAGCTTCACCAACAGTTTGAGCATCCACTCTGTGTTTCCATCAATATATCTTGATTTTATCTACTGAGCAATTCAATCTGTTATTTCTGAGATACTGAGCCGAGACCCAGACAGGCCGACCGGCATTTCGAAGAGCGCTTCGCGCCGCGACTTTTGCAAAGCCACACGCTTGGTGGGGCTATGAAAGGCTTGGCTCCTGGAGGCTTCAGGCCTTCGACACGGGATTTTGTTTTCAGTGTCTCCAAGGACGAATTGGACAGGAGGGCGCGTGCAAGCGTGCAGAGATTTGGGTCACGGAACTCCCCTGTGTGTGGTGCGAGAGCCCGGGAAGCGCTCCATCCGCTTAAATGCGCTGGCAGCCATCAATCTCCCCATAACATACCGGAAACGTAAGCCCAGATCGCTCTGATTCCCCAGGCACATCCCCTCGAAGCCACAAATCGATGCACCCCACAAGGCCCAAAGGTCCGCTGCTTCGCCATTCAGCTGGCGGCCCCTCCAAAGGCCGAAGGGCCGCCAGTGCTCGGTCTGGACGTCTGGCGTCTTAGCTGTAAAAGTCTTGAAAAGCTCCAGCATTGTTTGTGCAACTTGTGTGTCGAGGGCTGTAGCTCATGCTTGATGAGATCCCTTCAAAATGGTTGAAAGGTTGGCGCTTTGCAGTTTTAGGCGAATCTCAAGGGGTTGCCCGACCTGAGTTCCGGTGATCACAGAATCACAGACGTGTGCGTATGTCCTGCTCACGGCCCTGGACACTCTTGGACCGGGGGCGTAGACCGAATATACAAACAGGTTGTAAGGTTCCCAGCTGCTGAAAAACTTTTGATGATGGGGAGGGGGGGAGGGGGGGGGCATCTGCTGCCGAGGCTGTTGGGCATTTGTCTCCCGGCAGCGGCATGTTTGCAAGTTGAGCTGCCCACCAGCACGGAGCTGAACACTGAACACATCCTGCCCGAACAGCACAGCCAAGCCACGTGCCGTCACCTGTGGCAGCAATCACCATCGAGGGTTGCATGGGCTGTGTTTTTGCTGCCAGCGCAGCAAGGTCTGCGATGAACCATCGTTGCGTACATCGGCAGCGGACCTGTTTCAGTCTGTGCCGCTGTCAACCATAACGGGCATGAGAGTGCATCACATCGAGCCCTGGCAGCATGCTGGGGATGCAGTCGCTCTCGCAGTCGTATACATCTTTCGGCTCGTAAGCACGCAAGATTCCGCAAGTGCCTTACGAAGGACCACCTCTCCAGCCTCCACATCGAGGCAGGACTATGGCTGGGATGGTAAATAAGCTCACACCTATATAGTGGGCCTGTTGTTTGAAAACGGGGCTCGACCGGACCTCGTTCCCGGACAAGCAATGATTCAAGAGTAGGTTGTGAATGATTGTGTCCGCGAGGTGCCGGGTCTGCTGAGCGATCCCCCAATAGCCTCTTGCGTGTCCTGACTGTGCCAAATCTGGACGCTCCAAGGAGCTACTGCATTGGAGCGAACTGGAGATGGACTTCGGCATCGTGCTCTGGGCCAAAAATTTTACAAAGCCTAAGGCAGGTTGGTTGTTCTTCAAGTTGGGGGGGGTGTTCGCGATTGAATCGGTTGTTCGCCGCGCCGTCGGACCTTTCGTGTCTAGTACCTTTCTGTTGCAACGAAGAGCAAGCCGCGCATCGCGAGACCCGACAAAATACTTGGTGCTACAGCAAGAGCTAAGCAAAGAATGCAGAATGCAAACCACCGAAATCATCGTAATCACGGTTGAGATTCTTGCGACTTTTGCGTGCAAGGAGTATGGACTACAGGACATCTTTAAAAATGTCAGAATGATGCGGGCTTGCTAATCATCTTTAAGTCTTTTAATTGGCCCGCGTATTATGTTTAGATAGAAAATGCGCATTCGTAATGTGCCTTTTGATTCGTACTTGTAGGTCCCCTTGTAGCCGACATAGAATAGCACAATGCCCTGAGAATGGGTTAGTAATATTATTATTCCAACTCAAAGATGCTGAGAATAATTGTTTGTTTCCTACTTTGTTACTTTTGTGTTTCCGCACAGCATGTTTTTGATTTGAGTTTTGGTTGTTTTCTTGATGCTTTCATTACTGGAGATTCCTTCCTCCAAGAACCAGAGGTTGGCCCACCCAATGCCGGCACTTCGTCGCTACACCGGAGCCTCGCAGCACTCGGGGCACACTTCCTGGGTGGCCTCGACGAGCCCCGAATGTTTGGTGCGGTGAGGGGGCTTGGTGGGTCTTTGGGAGATGTTGTCGGGGATTGTTCGACAGAGAGAGACAGACAGTGTGTGTGTGTGTGTGAGATCTCTGTTTTGGGACATGCCATAGCATGTGCCATACCAAAAGCGCAAACAACACCATCCCTCTCGAAAGTAAAAAATGTCGCACAATCAGAGAAAGTAGAAAGCAACAAGCCCAGACAGACTTCAACAACAATTGCTATTATTATTATTCTTCTTCTTTTGTTTTTTTTTTGGGGGGGGGGGGGGGGGGGGGGGGGGCGAGGTGGGGACAATCCCAAATGAGGAGATGCCTTTGCCGGTCTCCTGGCTGCGAAGCGAGGACCTCGCCATTTTGGGATCCTTAGGTTTCTATTATTTGTGTTGTATTTTAATCTTTACTTTGTATGTTAACGATAAATAAGTAGTTATGTATATATATATATATATATATTATTCATGTCCCCACCCTTTTGTGTCTCCCAGCCCTTCCCAGTCAAGCACTAGGGCATGGGAGTTCAGTTCAGGGCTTGACAGTTTTGCACTGGGGTTCTGAGATATGGCTGTGATTAGCTGTGTTGGGATGCAGCGCTCAAGATGTGCGTCCTTCAGCCCTTCACTGCAAAAGTCGGGAGGCCACTGGTGGATGAGACGCAGGCTGTATGCGCTAGACACAGCTTTGAAAACGTGAAAGATTGGGCGGAATGTTAGCTTGCTCACGGCTGCACTGGCTGGTTCTCCCCACCAGACATTTATGTTTTTCAAAGCCGAATTGTTCCTGAGCGCTGTCGATTGCTTTGGATGATGCAGGAGTCATGGCAATGGCGCTGCACAGCACCGCTCCTACCTCCTGCAAAGTGGGCAAAGGCGGGTCACGAAGTCTTCAGTCAGCAAACTGCTTCTTCCGACTTAGAAAGCCTGCCAGGGCCTTGGGTTGCTGCGGCGGCGGGAGGCTCGAGTCTTGCTTTCCCTCCTTGTCTTCGGAATCTGTGTGGGTTCAGGATGCAGGGCTGTAACTGTAAAGAACGCGGTAACTTGGCATGCAGCTCGGGATTTTCGGGCTCTGTTTGCTCCTTTGCGGGGCGCGGCGGGTAGCTGCCCTTGGACCTTGGAAGCTGCGCTTTGCACAGCAGCGTCAGGCTATGTGTCATCAGGGCCCCAGAACGAGGAAGCTCCACTGCAGCGCCCAAAACCGATGCTGCACTAGGCCCTGCTGAAGCCCGACACTGAACCCATCAGGTTGCGAAAGTTGGACGGCAAGGGCTGGCAGCCTTGGCTCAATCCCAGCCTTTGCCTTTCTCATCTCGCCCAGTTTGTTCGATGCTAGTTCGCCGCGTTTGGCTTCATTCAGCTAAAGCAGGCGAGATCCCAGCAGATGTAGGAGGGCATTGCCCCACACAACTCCACGATACTTCCCGAGTTGCAGAAGGGGCCAGAGGAGAGCATGTTGAGGATTGGTTTTTTTTCGGGCACGAAACGAGTTTCAAGGTTCGAAGGTGTGTCCACAGAGAGCTTGTGACGAACTTGAGGTGGGTTTCCGGAACCCAAAGATCATCTACAGCGCCGCGTGTTTGAACAACCTCCTCTTTGTTCCAGGTGCTCTTGGCTGCAAGTCATTGCGGTGTGGGCGTTTGTGTTATACCTTTATTTTGATGGCCCTGAAAGTTCCTAATCCCCAAAGCTTCAAAGTGCGAGACTGGGGCGTGCCAATGACGAGTCGCCGTGTAGAATTGCTGCGTCCTTGGAGTTGAGCACTTCCCCCGGCTTCAGCGCTCTGATTTCTAAACTGGTTTGTTTCCAGAAAGGAGCTCTTCGAGCCAAGGATCTCAAGAGCCCCCCCCCCCCCCCCCCCCCCCCCCCTCCCCGGTGCTGCTGTTGGCGCGCACAGTCTACACCACCCTGAACTGACAAGGCAGGAGGCAATTGCCAAAGGTGCCGCAAACGGACGAGATGAATATCCCAGCACATGTCCACCGGTTGCGCCCACACACGCAGGCGGCACTGATTGGGCATCGCAGAACGTTAAACCGTCCTCCAAAGCAGACCTTGGCTTCTTGGCTTTCCTGCAGGCTCTTCGGTTTCTGGGCTTCTTGGCGTCTCGGCTTTGGTGGCTGGCTGGCTTCTTGACGACGACGAAGACGACCAAGACGACGACGATCACGACGATATGGAAAGTGTTCGGGGCGAACTCAAACACCCTTTGGAAAACAGCCATTGGCATTCCGACATATCTCATATCGAGGGGAAGCATTGCTAGCAGCTAGCAAGCCTCGATATACGTGAAACACAAGCGATCCCAAGCGCCACATGCGCCACATGCGCCAGGAATTTGCAACCGTACAACCTTTGAAGATTCCCACGTCCCGCCTTGGGCCCTTCCACCTAAGCTCTAAGAGCTGGTTCACAGAATCTCAAGCTGCCACTTCACCAGGCCTACGAATCATTGCCATGTGGCGTGATCCCGTGGATTGGCTCTGGAGTTCCCTCAGCAGGGCCTTTGAAGGCTTCGAAGAGTCGGACCAGGTGGGGGTGACGCTTGGATTGAAGTGCACTATCAAGGCATCAGTCCAATGTAATTAATACCAATATTGCATTTTTCTTCCACTTTGATGAAACTCATTTCAGATCTTTCTATTTTAGATAAACCCGTTTCAAATGATAATAAACTATTTAATTTTCCTTTCGGAGTTAATTAAATTTAGAGCTAGAGTCAGCAACCGAATGTCGCGAGCATGGTGATTAAGCGGGTTATCCTAAGGACACCAGAAAAGCACACCCTAAAGGCTTGCACGCTCCGCTACTCAATGCCTGACCCTAAACCCCAAGCCTTTCAACCTTTCTCGGAGTGCAGGCAAAACCTGTTTGCACCCCATTCCGCGAGGAGATACGACGAGCATGGAGCTCATTCGCCATCTCCACCAAGGCTTGCAGCGCTTTTCTTTCGGAAACAACCGTGCCCAAAGTATACATACGCAAGCAAACTAGAATGGCAAATGCTTCCTAGCAACAGTATAGAGAGCGTGAGAGGAGAGGGTGTGAAAGGAGAGAGTGGAGACATACTTCGAGAGGCTTGCAGGAGGGAGGAAGAATCGACCTTGAGGCGCGCTGCGCGGGGGTTCAGAGACAAGAAGGAGAAGAAGAAGAAGAAGAAGAAGAAGAAGAAGAAGAAGAAGAAGAAGAAGAAGAAGGAGAAGGAGAAGGAGAAGAAGAGAGGAGCCCCCGAAGTCCAAGTACACAGTAAGGGGCCAGAAACACAATCGGGGGGGTTCGGGGGAGCTTCCAGAGGTCTTTCGGGAAGGTTGAGAGCAGAGGCCGCATTTTCCCAGCGCCACAAGCAAAAAAACACTGCAGAAATTCAGAGAGTTACCTTGGGTGCAAGTGCAACACCTTTCTTGGTGTCTCTTTGTCGCTGCATCTCCCGCTCTCCCTTCTGCTTCTTCTTCTCAGAGGGCCACGTTTGGCCGCGAGGAAGCAGGTGACCCACTGGGTGCAACCGTACAGTGTGGGGACCGCGACTTCCAAGTCCTGCCGGAAACCAGAGGGCCACCGGAGGAGGCCGACTGCTACACCTAACACGGGGGTCGTTTCTCACCGGGACAGACAGTATACAGCGGGCCGCAGAGCCAGGGAGCAAGGGGGGCCTTTTCGCAGAGTAGAAGAAGAAAAACGAAGGCACGGATAGAGTGCGAAATTGCTGACGCACTGGGGAATCAGATTAAGAAGACTTGTAGGGGTCGTCTAATACCCATGACCATCATGACCAAAAACAGAGCAGCGGTCCGGAGTGACCCGGGCGAATCAGGGTGATTGCACCGGTTTTTCACCACTTGATCGGTTGTACTTCCAAGACTTCCCAGCGGACCAGAACGGACGGCCTTGACGTCAGAATCATCAGTGCTGAACGGAGTTCTCCGTCCTCGGTGCGGATTTGGTGGAGACACATGTTGTCGGCCTTCATGCATTGAGCTGCGCGCCTGTCAACTCCAAAGCAAAGCGGACAGGCTGTTCTCGAGAGACTCCTGACGTCAGCATTCCTGCCGTGTGGTTCGCCCGGTCATGCGCGAGGCAAACCAAGTCACTACCCTCTCCCTCTTCCCCGGCCCTCCTACTCCTGAGCCAAGTTCTGTCAGGCTCCGACGAAGACACAGCATCTGCAGGAGCAAGGAGGGGGAGCCTTGGATGCCATCTAGATTCCATGTTCCGAAAATCAGTGTTTTTTGGGCGTCCTTTTGGCTCCAGGGCTTCCAGGGACTAGACTGGCAGCTACACTCACCCGAACCTGCTTGGAGGTGAACACCCATCGCTTAAATGGCCAATTGCTGCCACTGCCGCAGCCGCAGTCTCTTTGACGTCGGTGCCCGTATGCTGTATGAGGTGCTTGGCCAGGCTGGCCTCTAGGACTCTAGGAACAGCATAAAGAACAAAGGCTGACTCGCTCAGGCACCGCAGAATCAACAGAAGGACATGAAGGAAATGAAAGACTGAATAAACAGAACAAAGAGCGGTCGGCCCCTGGACCGCAAGCTCACCCCCGCCTTGAGTTTTTTTGAGAAAGGCCAGGTGACTTCGTTCTTTCACAGACACTGACAGTCACAAGTATGTGGAAGTGTGTGAGCGGGCGGGTGGGACCGCAGTGCAGGGAGAGACTTCCCCGGCTCATTCCTCTGCCAAGTAACGCCAACGCAGGAGATTAAATCTCACAAATCTCGAAGATGGCATGATGTCCAGGCCTCCCAGAGCTCAGCACCTGGCGCCTGGGTGTCCCCTTGAGCCTCAGAGCGGCAGCGCCGAGCCCGGCGCTTTGGAAGCTCAAGGCAGCCGTCGGACAGGAGACTGGGGTTGGAGTCGTCCAGAACGAGTCTGAATCCATCTGAGAATCGAAGTCCCGAAACCCTGAAGGCGAAACCCTCAACCCTGAAGAAAAAACCCTAAACCCTAAACCCTACCATAAGCAGACCTCCAGGAGCGGCTCCTTGTCCTTCCCTTCGATCGCCTCATTGCCTCAGCGTCAGCCTGCTTCGATGAGCTGCTGCCCTTCCTCGGCCTGCCTGCTGCTTGGCTTCGAACTTGGCCCCCAAATTGATCTGCTTCTGGCTACGGGCCCATGATTCTATGATCCGTTGTTCACGGTCGGTTAAAAAGGGGCAGACTGATGTGGACAGCACCCACGCCAAAATCAACAGCTTTCAGGCCCTAAACCCTAAATCCCCAGTTGACCGAGTGAGAAAAATAGACCGAGTGCCTCGCCTGGTCTGTCCGAGTATGAGCGATTAAACCCCCTATTCCCACCCTCAGTCCCATAACACTTCTTTCCAATGTATAAGTGAATGACAAGGAGTACCCTCAGGTTTTTGAATGTCCTGCCAAAGCCTGGTTTTGATTTTGAGCTTTTGTTATTTGATTCAAGCTCTTCCTTACGTCGACTTGCCTCACGATCCCTTGTCACCATGATCAATCAACTCATCATCTGAAAAGGTGGTTCGGGACACTTTGCTGATACGTAATATATCAGACACTCATAGAGGGACAAGCATTGGCTTTCAATTTTCTTGAGGTTGCGCTTTAGATGTTAGGGGGTCTGCAGGCCTTGCCTGATGGCGTCCGCTCCTAGTAAGCGCAAGGCATCTGGCAGTATGGAGCTCCTTCCAGCCAACGTGCGCCGACGGCGGAGCCGCATGGACTTGAGGCACGTTAGGGCGAGCATCGAGCATCGCTTGCTGACAATACCCTTGTTTTTCGGGCAGGTTCGGGGCAGAGTTAGCGAGGGATTACGCCGGACATCGCGCCTGAGACACGTTCTTGTGATTTCATCTGTGGGGTTATGACGGTCTTTTGATGCATGCAAGTGGCAGGGTGCTCATGGAAGCCCTCAAGCATCACCTGTGACATGCTGAAAAGACTTCACGCGCCCGGCTTGAAGCTCTGACTCGCGATAGAGAGACATGTCTGAAGCGAGGGACGGCGAGAGAACGTGACTGAGTAGCCCTCTCGGGAAACCCAAAGGGGAAGCCAAGCACCCGCGCCCAGGGAAGATGCCTTGAGCAACGGCACAGCAGAGCTCCAGGAGTTCTTCAGTTTTTCGGCCGCATCCAGCTTCCAGGGGCCGATTCCCTGCTGAGTGAGCTTTCAAGATAGAACCTAAAGGGCAGACCATGAGATACCAAAGGAGGCCTGGCCTGTAGGCGGCCAAGTACGCACGGGTTATGCTTTTGGGGCTTCAGTTTCAATGGCATTGTGGATTGCAGGACTCTGGCTTCTGAAGTAGCTTGTTTCGTGCGGTTTCGACTGTAAGAGGGCCCCAGCACAAAGAACGCGAACGTAAAGACGTTCAGGATCGGAGCGAGAATCTGCCGCTGGGCTGCTGGCATGCGCCTTGTGAACTAGAGACGAGACCGCCACCAGGACGCTAGGCGTGAGAGGGATAGTGGTTGTCTGGAATGTTCCTTGTTCATGCGTCGGGGACGTGAGGGTTTTCGCATCGGGTTGCGCGTCGTGCCTCGAAGGCATACAATGCCTTGCAGATACCTTCGCCCCCAGGACAGATCCCTCCACACAGAGAGATCACAACAAGAGTGGGAGAGAGAGAGGCCCTCCTGGCCAGCGCGGCCGCTTGTCGTCTTCGGGGCAAAGGAGCGCAACAAGAAGCACAAGAAGGCCTGCAAACAAGACTCAGCTCCGGGAGCTCCAAATCCCGTGTGGCGAGTGACCAAGTTCCTCACTGGAGCTTTTGGACTCGTCAGACTCCCCAAATTCGACTGACACATCGAGGCCGTTTCGCCCGCCTTGCGCCGTCTGGCCGCCGTATGTCACCAGAATCCCAACAACTGCCACAAGGTTTCCGGGCGGCACGGGAACGGGAGATGAATGCCCCCTAAACCCTCAATATCGTGTTAGGGATTTAAGCTTCAGAAATGTTTGGAGTATGTGTCCATAAAAGTTGCGCAGCAGGGGATAGAGAGGTTTTGGTGCATGAGATTTCTCTGGTATTTTGCATACCCCATTTGGTGCAGTAGCCCGGGAGGCTAGAGCCCGGATAGGCCTATCAGCCCGCATCACAGTGCAAAGACCCATAAGATTGTCAACGCTGGCATTGCTCTTTGGAAAATGTAGAAACATGTAGTAGGTCTTCTCGGCCCATCTCCTCACCGAAACTTTTCCGAAGCATCCCCCAAAACCGTACATCAGCAACACCGTACATCATGAAGTGAGAGTAAGGTGTTTTGTGGCAGACAATGCCACTTTGCCAGGCGATTCGTGCACTCTGCCAGTGCGCGACCAGAATGCAACAGGCAATCGGTCCCGGCCCGGGCAAAGCATGATCTGGATGCAGTCGCGCCGTATCATGGCACTTCGAAGGTGCCAAGGCGTGGGAATGTCTCCGATTGGCCAAGTTCACTGCAGCCAGGGCAAGTATGCGAATGCCAGCCGAAATGCAAGAGACTTCGCTTTGACGAGCTTGGCTTCACTGACAGCAAGTTGACACGTCACCGGTAACGATGCCATGCCCGGCCATCGACCGCAGCCACAACGGGTTCGTTTTTGGAGTCCGACAAATCCATGTGTGCATTTGTGTTTCCACACCCATGCCTTAGGACTGTCTCTATGACAGATTGAAAGCAGATTCCGTCAAAGCCTTCATCAAAACCTTGGAATTCCAAGCACTGCTGCCTAAGTTCGCCTTGGAGCAATGGAGGCTCAGGATCATTCCATTTTTCTGGGAACTGCAGCCCGCTGCGATGAAGGCCCGCATGTGCACATCAGATACTGCCACCCTACAGGCTAGCAGGCTAGCAGAAGAGCTGGCATTCCAACTCCGTTCTAGCCGCGTCCAGCTGTTTCATGCCCGGGTCCGCTAAATTCAGGCAGCTGCATCCCAATCGAGAGCCACCTTTCCAAGCCCCGGCCCTGCACAGTCCCACACCTTGGCAAAGCTTAACCCACTCCCAAGAAAAAGGGTTCCAGAACATTCTGGATTCAATTTCTTCGAGAACGCCTGCAGTGCGTTTTAGGGACTTGGGTGGTTCTGGGCTTGTTATGTGGCGCAGGGCTCGATTGGCTCGGCGTCCCGGATGACGTTGGCGCCGCAGGCATGTCGGTAAACAGGTGAAAGGGCTGAGGGGCCGGGTCGAAATTTTCGGAGGGCTGGAGATTGGCAGAAGATTTGGGGCGAAGTTGTGCCACTACCGGGCATGCTGATTCATGAAGCTTGGAGTGTGCAGGGTCTGGTAGGCAGGCTTACTGCCTTCGCCGGGTTCAGTACTTCGAATTGCATTTTGCAGAAAAGCGCGAGGGCTCTTGATCTTAAATGGGGATAGCAATGATGCCTCCTCTAGCTCCCAATGCTGCCCTGCAACATGTGTAGCTCCAGGACTTGCAGTAGGACTGAGAGCACGGTCATTAGACGAGCAGAGGCTCGAAGTAACTCGTTGTCGAAGAGCAGAGCTCTGCAGTTTTTGTTGTTTGCGTCAACACCAAGAGGTCAACTGCCGGTCGTCGCAGCCAGCAGCATTGGAGGGCTGCGGGGTCGTGGCTTGTGCCCCAACTCAAAGCTTCCCATGTCTCGTCCTTGTGTGTGTGTGTGCTTGTACCAAACAACCTCCCCGATGTAGGATTCCATGTTTGAAGTTCTCGCCTAGTCCACCAAAGGTTGAGGCCACGAGGTTGCGAATGAAGGGTATGTCCGGTGCGCAAGGCTCATGGCTTGTTAATTGTTGGGCTCGCTGTGCGGTGAAGGCCCAAAAAGGCAAACAAGGAAGCAACAACAACAAAAATGATCCGAAAGCACCACGAGGTTTACCACAGCCCCCGGGCCCCCGGTTCCGGTCGAGCTGATACGCGATCGCTCTGTTGGGGCCGATGGCGGCCAAGCTGCGGTTGGGCATTTTAGCATGCTAATGCTTGGGACTATGGTGAAAGTGCACGAAGCTTCTTGGGGCAGCTTGAAGGGAGAACTCGGGCATCTGCATATCATCATTTTTGCATGTGCAAACAATTGCCGAAGATCGGTTTGGAGAAGAGTGGCCGTGTTTCAAAATGAGCTCTGCAACTTCGACCGCGTGATGGAGCTCAAGGGTAAACGACAAGAATTTCTGTACGCCCGAAGGGTAAGAATGCAGCTGACCAGGTTTTGTTGTGTGTAGCACGGGTCATGAGATGCCCAGAATAGAATGACTTCGATGTTTTTCCCCTCAAGCGATCATGGGTGTTGAAAGTTTTGGATTTTGGACCCTAGGCTTCTTGGATGATGACGAAGCAGAAAGGCACTGCGATGAGAAGTCTCCCGAGTCCGAGTTCATGGTTTGCATGGTCTTTGGTGGAAAGTTCGGCGCCCTTGCAGCAATAGCTGCAATAGCTGGGACCGCCCTCGTGGCCCAGTAGGTATCATCAACACCCAACCACTTTCGTCACTTCGTCACTTCAAAGGCTGGCTTCGCGACGAATACACTGGAGAGCAGTGGGGCACCCTCCGTCCATTGCAAGAGACGCTGCGCGAATGGCTGGATGAGGGCAAGTGTGCACAACACATCACTTGGGACGAAGACGAGCAATGCCCCCAAGAACGCACAAGAATCGCTGTCTGGACATTGCTGAGCATACGTATCTGCTAATGTCTCATGTCAACAGGTTCTGTCTCCTGCTTGAAATGGGGCAAATAACTTGGGGGAGCTGCCTGTAAACCGGTGGTTGCAAGTGTTGCAGCAGCACCTCTATAAAGTGCTGACAAGAGCCGGTGCTTGTGTGGGCGTCGTTGCGTCGTGGGATCACAGCAAAAACGTTCAAGAGTGGTCCAGGAATAGAGAGACCACACGCGCGCCCGTCGAAAACTCAGGCTATGCCCTGTCGGAGCCATACAAGTCCTACGTGGCTTGGAACCTAGGTCCTTTTTGAGTCATGTCTTCTTGGTTTCGGAAATGGACACTATGCCCATTGGAAATACCCAACTACCCATGAACCGTATGCAAGCTGTCGCCCATTGCTGATCCAGGAACGATCCCTCCAATCTTGCTGCCATGGCAAATGATGCGTTTCTTGTTTGAAAGGGCAAGACCTGATTATGCCATGTCTCTGAATTAGTCTGAAGCCGTATTAAAATTTGTAAGCACTCCAAGTGGTCGTTCTGATCAGGGTGAGCTGCAAGGGTTCCTCCACAGGTTGTACGGGTGCTGCAAAGACCAGACAGAGTACAACGTGAAGGACGTTGCCGCTTGGCAAGGCGCAGTGGTATGTTGGGCACAATCAATCCCGTAAGGCTCACCATGCTCACTTCTGTCCCCAGGGGTATCTTGGATTTTCTTGTAGAATGGGCTCCACGACTTAGGACATGAACAACTTGGTCATGGTCCCATGTGCGCGGCTGGCGGAAGATGGCATTCGAGTCGAATTCAAGAGCAACTTCGACTCATCTGGCCAGAACGTGTTCCGTGCGAAAAAATGTTAAAACGGCTTTCGGGAGCTTAGCGGGCTCTGTCCACAACCTGAAAACCCTTTATAGGGCCTTCAAATACAGCCTTTCGCTGCATCCGCTTGAGTGCGTCAAGTATTCTATTCTGCTCACCGTCCTTGTATGCTACGGGCTTGTCGAGTGTACCTGGCCCCGCCTGTTTCAATTCTCCGTCGCCCTTCGTCCCTTCGCTTGCTAGTTTGGACAGACGCAGTTTGTGCATCGGGAGGGACCATGGGAGCGGGTGATCGGAAGTGTTTGTTCGCATGCGAATGTTGCAACGCTAACTTTGTACTCATAGAGTCTTTCAGTGTTGCTATCGAAGGGGTATCATCTTTCATTGCTCTGCATTCGGCCGCTGTCCAGCTTGTCTTTTCGCCAGGTATGTTCCTCTACCCTCGCAAGGGGTGGTCTTGGGATGCCCCACAAGAGCTCACCCTGGGCTATGGCTTTGTCACTTGGCGCGTGCTTTGAAGTCCCTCGCTCTTTAGGGCACTCAGGGTCAGCGGCAGTCGTGCTTTAGCGCATAGACGCTAACCAGACTGAGGAAGAAGCATGTGCTTGCCATGCTCTCCATGAACGCATCTGTGAAACAACTTGATTGCTTGCAGACTCGTGTCCTGCTTATATACCTCGCTCTCCGACACTTTCCTCCCCACGTTGACATCATGCCTCTGTAACACACTTCCGCTATTGCGCGTCGTGTTGCCAGAGCTGAGCCCTCTCCAGTAACTCGGCTCTTATGGGTGAGTGCGAGGACCAATGCCACGAGGAGTCTGCCGAAGGATGACCTGATGACGCGGTCCCGTTTCACGAGTAGAATTCTAGAATCTAGAAGCAAAGTGCTTGCGAGGAATTTGGGGCGGAGAAGCATCCAAAAGCAGCATGACGACGTGAAACTCAAGCCCTGCCCCTTGCTAACCTTGAGCTGATGCCTAGGGACATAAGGTACCTATCTGGGGCTTGCTGAGGTTAAAACAGATTGAGGAAGCTCCGTCGAGCAGCATTGTCCGTTAGCGCCGCGCTGTTCAACCTGAGAGTTGCCACACCATTGGTGGTGTGCATGGTGTGCAAGCATAAGGGCAGAAACTTTAAGCTACTTGTCTCCATACTATGCAAAGGCCATGTATGATGGCTGAGCTGTGAATTCAGCCTTTGATGCCTTGAAGCCGTAAGGTCTTCACTGTAGAGGCCCTCATCTTGGGCGGGCTGGGGTGTTGGGGGCATTTTGCTCGCTGGCGCAGCTTTTTGGCTAAGCTGCCAGTGTGTCTAGTTGTTCCCTGATCCACTGTGGACCTGCTAGGCCTTGTTGTAGCAGCAGCCTCTTAAGATCATTGCGGCCAGAGTTCCAGAAATCATGTAAAAGAGCCACTGAGCCACTAGACCTTTGCAGAGCGTCGACATCTCAGACTCTCCCCAGCTGCCCCCAGCCCCCAAAAGGTCACAGCCTCTGCCATGGCCACCCCGACGTCCATCACTCAGCCCCTCTCCGCACTCTGCACACTCCGAGCCCGTGAGAAGGCGACAAGCACCCAAACCACCAGGCCGGACGACATTCAGAACAGAATAGCAGCCAGAAAATTGAGCCTTCCCTACTGTCAGGAAGCTGGTAGGAAGCTTGCGCAATTCTTCCAAGGAACAAGTTGATGAGTAGAGCAGCTCCAGCAGGTCTCTATAGAGCCTTGAATGGACGCTCGCAGGCTACCACCCCCCAGGCCGCTCCACGCACTGCCTGGACTACCTTTGCTTGGGGTCTGCGCCGCCGCATCCGCCGCCGCATCCGCCGCCGGCCCTCTGCAGCGCCCCTTCAGTCGCGGGAAGTGCTGGGCTTTGGGAGGCGCTGCAAGAAAAAGCGTGAGTTTGAAACATTTCCTTACGTGTGGTCGGGCCTTGCATTGAGGGTCTTCTAAGTCTAAAAAGAGTTGAAGGCCGGGCACCTGGCCGAGTCGTCCGCGCCGCCGAGCCCAGCGGCGACGAGCTCAGGGAGCTCTGGCAGAAAGCCTACCAGCAGCTTGGGTGGCCAAGACCAGATTGTGCGAGAAAAGACGGTTTTGCACATGACTTGCGTGGTAAATGGCAAGAACTTCTGGGTCTTTGAGAGAGAACGGAACAGGAATTGCGACAGCCAGAGCGTGCACCCAAGGCTTGAAAGAGAGCGCAGCGAGGAACTGAGGGGCGGCGAGTCCCCGTCGCTGCCCTCAGAGCCGTCGGTTGATGCCCCCGCAACTTGGAATGCTGGAACTTGGAGTCTACTGCAAGGGTAACCGACTATGATTCGGATCCTGTAGACTATCGGCGCCTCCCAGGCATCGGAGTGGCAAGCGGCCTATGAAGCCATGAAGGCCGGTCCCTGATGTGTTACCCACAAAGCATTTTTGAGTCCTGAGCCTAGCGAGTTCCCAACAACATTTTGCTGTTTCCTGAGAAAAAGGGGCCGCGATCGGAAATGAACTGGCCTGGCGAAACCGGAAAAAGATGGAATAAATCAGGAAGTGACCGAACATGAAGCTATGTGCCTTGAACCCGTCAAGACCTCACGCAACCAGCAGAAGCAGGCAGCCAACGCTGAGCTGGAGGAGGCGAAGCGGCAGCGCGCTGTGCAAGCGGCTCGCGATGCGGCACGCGAAGCCTCGCAGGCAGCGGACGATCTTCAACTCTTCAAGAAATCATGGGATGACTGAAGTGGTGCACTGGGCCTTTAGCTCTAGGCCTCATGTGTGCTAGAAGCCCCACCCCCACCCCCCACAAAAAGCGGACCTCTAAAAGCCTGCGCACGGGGGGCACTCGGATCCGCTATTGCGACGCCACGCACTTCGCAGGCGGAGCAGGATCAGGAGCCTCAGGAACCAGTTCCGGCTGCCAGTGCCACCCGGCATAGGACAGGCAGAAATGGGGTGCACCAATGGGCACACCACCCCAAGGAGTGCAGGGCTGGCATGCCCCAGCGTGCCTTAATCCCAAGCCCGCTGAAATCCACCCCGAATCGCTATCACAACAGAAATTTTCCGCCACCCCTAAGCCTTAAGGAAGCTTGAAAGCAATTGCGACCGAGGCCCGCAGGACTTCCCAAAGGCTTGGAAGTCTGACCTCCGAGGCAGATGCCGAGGAGGGCTCCAGCAAGGCTCGGATTTAGGACTGAGAACTGAAGAGACCGGGGTCTCCCAGCTTCGGTTTCAGTGTGAGGTTGCTGCTGGAGGAGGGCGGTGGAAGCCAGCTCCTTTTTTCGGCTCAGGATTTGGGATCCTAGATGCTGCATGTGGGGGGTCTAGGGCTTAGGGAGTTGTCTGTCAGGATTTAGGGCACAGCCTCGCCCATGCCAGCTGCTTGCTTCGGGTTTGGGCCTGTTTCTTATTGAGGCCCCGGGGCCCAATCGGGACAGAGCCACAGAGCATGGCACTCCCTGCTTCTTGCTCTTTAAGTACTTCAGGGCTTCAGGGCTTCAGGGCTTCAGGATTCCGAAGGGTTGGAGTTGCTTTGGGTTTGTGCGCAAGGTTCTTAGCATCTTCGACCTGGCAGCGTGCCTCGGCAAGCATCCGAACCGCTTTGCTGCAGATGGCTCCATTAGGGTACGATAGGGCCAGGGGGGGGGGGCACAAACCAAGACTTCGAGTTTTTGGCTCAGTGTCTCTGGGTTTCGCACTAACCGGGACCCGGCACGAAGTTTCTGAGGGTTGACGTGGACTCCCAGCAGCTGGCTGATGTTACCCGGTTTCGGGACGCACTGGGCCCTGGCACCTTGCCGCTGCTGAAGGCGCTCTTTGACAAGGCTCGGAGTCTCGGAGACGTCGTCTAGGGAATGGCGGCAAGGTGGGCCTTCAATTTGCTGGCTATGCCAAATCGCGTCCACTTGCGGGAAATGGGACGGACTTATCAGATGAATGGTAATGGGAAAAAGATGCCAGGACATGACACCGCCCAGACCCAAACAAGCGAGATCTGTTTCGGTTTGGAGCAGGAGTCAGCAGAAGTTCTGGAAGTGGGCGAGCTTCGAGAAGCGTTGCGGATGTGGCGCTGCGTGCAATTCAGTGCCTCCCCCCCTCCCCCTCGCAGACGAAAAGAGTTTTTGGTCAAGGTTCGGGAGAGGAGTTGTTCGGAGTTCTGGGGGCAGCGTTGCAAACCCAACCAAGGCCCCCGAATCTTGCTCCAGCCTGCAATCTGGGAGCTGCTTCCTTTAAGATCCGAATTCTCACAGCCCTGAACCCACATAAGTCGAGTTCCGAGGGCGGGCAGTGGCTTCACAGTCACCTCCAGCTGCTTGGACTGCGAATTCACATGAGCAAGTGCTTACGGGGGATTGCGAAGCTGGGCAGGTGGGGTCGGCCCGGGAGGGATCACATACATAATACAGCCCAAACCCTGCGTTTAATCAAAGTGCTCGGCCCCTTGACGTCCATAAATTGGAAATAGCGGGCCGATCTTGAAGGTTTTAGGCACGAGAATTGGCCAATAACAAATGCAGGCCTGACTTGCATGTCTCGGAAGCTGAAGAGTCTAAGGTTTTGTAAACCTGACTGAATTGGAAACTCATGAGGGTAAATTTTAATTCGGCACCTTGTAGCTGCAAGGATCGTAAATCGAGGGCATCTTGGTGATTTTTGCGCCACCCTTACGATTCACACACACACACACACACACACACACACACACACACACACACACACACACACACACACACACACACACACACACACACACACACACACACACACACACACACACACACACACACACACACACACACACACCGACACACACACACACACACACACACACACACACACACACACACACACACACACACACACCACACACACACACCACACACACACACACACACACACACACACACACACACACACACACACACACACACACACACACACACACACACACACACACACACACACACACACACACACACACCACACGCACCCCTAAACCCTAAACCCTAAACCCTAAACGCACGCACTGCACGGCACTCACGCACGCAACGCACGCACCAACGCACGCACCACGCACGCACTCACTCTCGCACGCACGCACGCACGCACGCACGCACGCACGCACGCACGCACGCACGCACGCACGCACGCACGCACGCACGCACGCATGCGCGCGCGCGCGCGCGCGCGCGCGCGCGCGCCCTGAAGCACCAGCTCAGCCTGCGATAATTGACATGAACAAGCCGCGCAACCAAACCGCACAACCCTAACATTGCTCCACCTCAGACAGCACAAAGTAAAAACAACCGGAAGTGACAACCAGGAGCTCCGAGGCTTTGAGGCTTTCGTACTTGTTTTGGCCTGCTGCCCAGATCTCAGCCTGGGGCGGTGCCTTGTTCTGCGCGGGCTTCTTGCGCACCTTGGCTGCTTGGCATCTGGGATCATCTGGGCCACCGTGCCGAAGGCGACAAGAACAAAACTTGTTCGAAGACGTTCGAATTTCGTGGGGAGTTCATGTTTCTGTCGAGCCCCATCACGGAAACACCAAAAGCTGGTCTTGTCGAATTGCGCCCCCCCCCCCCCCCCCCCCAGGAGTTTCTTTTTCTGTTGGAATGTGTGGGTTTTGGGGCCTGGGGCCTGGAGTATCTACATCCAGCGGCAGCACGCAGCCCGGCTGCAACCGTCTCCATCATCCCAACAAGCACGGGCGTGCTAGAAACGGTTAGCAGGCTTAGGTATCTTAGGTCTTTAACCCTAAACGCCCTAAACTTCTCTGGGCTGATGTTGATGTCACAGCGTGCGGAGTTCGGTTTTCTGGTTCAGATGATATATGAAGGACCAAGTTCCCTGAAGAAGGCCACGTTGTCACCGCATAGCGAGGCGTGATGTTGGTGGTCGGGGGACGCTCACACAGTTCCTGGAGGATCGGCAAGCGGGACTGGACGAGCGGTACCTCGGCTGGGCTGCGTGCATCCTCGCAGTAGTTTAGACCGCCGGGGCTGTAGACCGGACTTTTTGCTTCTTATGTTGACGTGGGTAAAGAATGACCTGCAAGCTTATTGGCGGAAGCATGTCCAATACATGCCTGCTGCCTGAGTTGTAGTAATGTGCGGCGGTCCTGAATCGCAGGTTTTATTCGACCCAGGTTCTTGTCACTTCGCAAGCCCCCTGCTGATGCACAAACGCGTGCATGAGGGGGTTCGACATGAGAAGCAGTACATTGTAAAAAGTTCTGACATGTTCTGAACAAAGTTCTAGCCGGTTGACACGTGTTACACGTTGAACACTTCAAGAGCGCATGAGGAGAATGACTTTGCAGGGCTTCCGTCCCGAGGTACGGCTCAGGCAGTTTTACCGAAGCTTGATCGCAGCAGGGGCGACCTTGTCTTGAGGTTTGAATGGATCTAGCAAGTGAGTCACACAAGTCACGTCAGGTATGTGATTCGTATCCACCTAGCATACCAATCCTCCGATAGCCAAGGTTTTTCTGCAACGCGAGCGCCCCCCTCCAGCTCCAGGACTCAGCCTTTGGCCCAAAGGCGCTATTTTGTTGTCTTGCGGCCTCCGGCCATAGGATCTCTAGCACTCTAGCATTTGAAGGGCTGCCTGTTGTGGGAGTCGAGTCCTCCGCAGTCTTTTTCCTTAATGACCTTCGAATCGCGCCAAGTGTCCCCACGAATCTGCACGGAAGGTCAGTTTGACCCGGTGAAGGTATGGAGTCCATCCGACAAGGACTGGACTGTCAGGGCCACCGGTTTCTTGAGACCACAAAGAGTAGATGGGGCCTTGGACGTTTCGAGGTTTCGCTTTTCGCCTGGTTTTGGTGTGTTAACTAGTCAGTTAATAATTAACCCAGCTCGTGCGAAAACTTCCAGCTGTAATTTAGGAGTGGGAATCGGTGTATTTGTGTGTTGAGTTCCTGAGGGAGGCACCAAATGAAAGAACACGGTCACTGCATGTTCTTTCGCCCGCACAAGCCACCGCCACATCCAAATTCCCAAAAGCACAACACCGCCTAACGTTGATGACTATTGCAGGAGCTGCCAGCGGCGCTGCTGGTGTTTCGCACGTCGGACTTGCCAATACCATCCACCAAAGACAGCTTCAGGCACATGTTCTGTGGCTTTGGAGTCAGGTCCGGGGCGAGGGGCGATTTTTTCCAGCCTCTGAGCGTGTCTGTCTCGTTCTATCTGGGCTGTAACGTTTTTCTCGCCGCGGCCCACATGGATCTGTCACAGACCAAGATTGCCTGTCATGGTAATCAGCATGCGTCTGATTCGGATCAGCCTCTTGCGATGGTGCGTTTTCTCACTGTTCCGGCGAAAGTACGGGCCGTGCATGCAAGATGGAGGGCTCATGTGCCATCATTTGACGAGGCCGAGGAAAGGCTCCAAGATTCAGTTTAGCCTGTCGGTAGATTCAGATTGTAAGAGCTGAGAGCTTCAACTTTCGCGAGGCGCTTTGCGGTTGGTGCCTCTTTCGTGGCCACCATAGTCTTCTGCAACATCATCTCCGCCGCGGTGGGCTTCTTGGATGGCCAGGGCGCCTTGGATTGCCGATCCTCACGTCCCATCACTTGCGAGGAACTTCGCGCGTTGTTTTTTTTTCCGCGTGGTGAGAGAAGCGCGATATCTTCACAGAAAAACTCAGCAAAGGGCACTCCTTATCTCCTCAGCAGTGACAGGCAGCATATTGCAGTGGTCATGTCGCAGCTCTACTTTCAGGCCGCGACGTTCTGGTGAACCGCTCCGTGGAAGAAGTGACCTACAGCCCCCTCTTGGGTGTTGCGGTCACGCGCCTGGACCCGGACGGCGTCGCATCCGTGGGCCTTGGGCTGCTTCTGATGCTCTTCGCCCAAGGGCTAGGGCGAGGACTCGTGGCAGACCAGTGTGGGGTTGAGGCTTGGCACAGCTTGTGGTCATGGGTGAAAAAGGGGCCGTGAACCGTAGAGGATGCGGCTTGCCTTGGTCGGTGTGGGCATGCTTGCAGGTTCAAGGCGGCTACTTCATTCCTTCCTCCTCCCTGGGAACAGTCGGGCGCACCTGGACAATCAAAGGGCTCTGCACTTACCATCAGCTCTTCGTAGCGCAGGCACAGACCAGGACATGCTTAGTGGAAGCTCAGTCGTGAAAGCTGCTTCATGAACCCTCTCCAGAGCCCGGAGGCCCCTTGACTGCGCAAGGCCCGACCCTCTATAGGCCCATGAGGAAGCAGTCTTTGTGCTAAGGCTGGCGCCTTCACGCAAAGTTCAGATCCAGGCGACTTATCAGCACCGCCCAGAGCACTGTAGCGATGGTAGCGCCTGTAGCTTTTTCGGGTTAGGATTGGGGTTTTTGTGAACCAAGCAAGGAGTAGTACAGGAAAAGAGGTTGAGGCACCGCGCGAACACCTGGGCAAGCCCACTGTTGAACGCTGGAGGTGGCTTTGGGCGGAATCTACAGCGGCCTGGCGGCAGCCTTGCTGCTGTGCCTGGCAGGAATACTGATGGGCGACGCTTCGGATGGCCTGCTGAAAGTGGAGGCTGCGCAGCTTGTTGGGGTTGTGAGTTGAGGGTGGCCTCAAGGCCTGCTTGGGGGATGTATGGGCCGCACCCGGGTCTGGTGTTCTTGGAGTCCCACAGGCTCCATGACATGAGTCGCAGTCAAAGCGAGTCAAATCTTTGTCAGGTGACCCGGCTGCCGCTGTTCTTGGCACAACTCCTGGGCGACTCTTTTCCCGCAGGCTGGGCTCAAGCTCCACCCTGACCCCAAAGCTAAGCCATCTTAGCACCCTGAAGCTCCAAGCCATTTCCAAGCCATCTCCAGATGCAGCGGAAACAGTGCTGGGCCTGGGAAGCGGCGAAGCTGCGCCCAGTGCACCCGCTCGGGTGCCGTGGCCCGGACGGCAAGTACCCTTTTCGGCTTCGCATTTTCGGTTTGACAGCGTCGAGCCACAGACGTGTCTGAGCATGAGGAGTCTGCTACTTGGCGGCTGGCGATGTAATGTCGACCGGGTGAAATCGGCTGTTCTGGTTACACAGGGCTTCTTGAGCTCATTGGCTAAGTACGGGATGCCGAGAATTCAGTTTCTAAGTTGGCTGGTGTGGATACCGTGACAATGCTATGTGCATGTTCGACTGCATGGCCATCGGCCGCGCAAGACGACACTTCATTCCCATCGTTCTCTTGCTGCGGCTAAGTTGCTGCCCTAGGCTTGAGTATGGGTATGGAGACCATGGTGGCTTGAGTTTAATGAGCAATGGTTGCCTTCTGTGCTTGCTGGGGTGGGAACTCAATGCGCGGAGTATAGGGTTTGATCACCATTGCGCTGCACTGCGCAGATTGGACCCCCTGCTCTTCAGTGGTAGCCTGGCGCTGACTGCACAGGCGGGTAGTGGGCGGCAAGAATCCAAGCGTGAGACCTTGAACTGGTTCGGGACAAAAACCACACCTCGCAACCCTAAACGGGGCAGAGAGAGAGAGAGAGGGAGAACCCTAAACGTAGGCCCCAGGAACATGAACCTGTCAACATCCAAAATCGAAGCTTCAGGCCCGCTTGCCTCGCTTGTTCTCAAAAGTCAAGACCTGAAGTGGACCCCGCGTACCCCGAAAGAAAGGCAGTTCGACTCCTTCCTCTCCGCGGCCTTGATGGGCACCTGCTGGCCAGGCCCGTGTCGGAAGTCTCAGAGGTTCAGGTTTGAGGCCTATTCCGGCATGTTCCTTGTGAAGGAGCCGCGAGAACTTGGAGACTTTGACAGGAGGGTTTTCTAGTTGTTGCCCAGGTTCCTATTTGGACCACGTCCGATCCAGCTGCTTGAGCCCGCACCTGAGACAAGCGGAAGCGATTGCGCCCGCCCTGTTTTCATGTCAGAGTCTAGTCTAGTAGCCCAGCCGCAGCACTTGCCACAAGGGTCGTTTCACAAGCTGAAGGCTCCGAAGTTCCCCCGAAGTGCTAGACCAAAGGAGAGTTTCTCAGCTCTCAGCACAACATGACAGAAGCACGCCTGTTGCTGAGAGGCCCAACTTGTGTCCAGTCTTCATCTTGGCTTTTTTGTCGGCCCAGGCTTGCCACTGGCGTTGTGCTCTTGCTCGGTGCTGTGGGACGTTTGGGTCCCAATGCTAATGCTGCGATTTGCAGCTCGGCTCTCTTCGCTTGGGGCGTCTCCTTCCTGGTCGCCACGAGGCCAGATCGCTCCACTGAGGGATCGGGGCAATCATAAGTCCTCTGTCATAAGCACACCATTCGCGATTGTGGTGCCCACGACTAGCACACGCTGGTGCATGGCATGCTTGTGCAAATCTTCCGGCAGCATCTCATCAGGGAGTCGCCGCTGCCACCGCGTGAAGACTTTGCCACTGGGAGACAAGATTGCTCCGTGGGGTTTGGATGCTTCTGCTGGTCTTGCACCTTTCGGGGAACGTCAATTCGAAATAGTCAGAGTAGGTTTCACTTTCTCGCTGCTTGTCCGAGCTGTGGGACTTTCATTTTATGTGAAGGATGACGAGCCAGCAGCTTCACCGCAGTTGGCAATAGCTGCAGCGCTAGCCTTGTTGCTGGCTGCCCTCATCCTTATCCCAGGCAGACTTTGCATTGGAGAGGGCCACCTTGGGACTTGTGGTGTGCCATTGGGGATTCGGGGCCGTGTGGGTTACTGGAGTCAAGTTCGTATGGGAGATCATGGGAGCGTATGTCCAAACTCGTGCTGGTTGAAGTCCATTCGGATGCGATGCTAACACGCAGTAAGCACTGTCGCAACTTGCGCATGGCTCAGCAAGCTCAACCACCAAACCAGAGTTTCTAAGCAGGATCCTGCTGGCCTGGCTTAGCCCTGTGTCAGGCAAGCTCATTCCATACGGACTGCTGAGGGTTGCGGCATAGCAGAACTTGCCACGTTGAAGGCGCCAAGGCAAGAACTGTTAGATCATGTTCTTTCCCTTCCAGGTGCCCTGTGTAGACACTACATCATGTGCTGACAAGCCACACCAGCTGGCGTCAACATGCAGGTGTAATGGGTTAGAAAAATCATCGAAGGCAGTTCTCCCGCAAGCTTGCAGACACATGCCGGCATTCGCGCACGGGCATGGCCAAATTTCGATTTCGAGCACCCCCCCAACGTGTGCTTAACATGCCGAGTGTTTGAAATGGAGTCACTGTTGCTGAACGCGCAGCCCTAAACAGCAGCGCCATCGCCGCGTTGTGCCTACCCAGCCTGCGTAAAAAGCGTAGCGTGCGGCCTTGGCGACCTTTTCTAGTGCTACTTGTTCTGACCGGGAATGGCAATCGCAAGAGCTGGCCATGACTTAGCACGGACGTGGTACACAGAGAGAGAAAATGTCCATGTCCTTCCCCCCTTCGTTTCCCCAGTGACTCTGCCCCTGGTCGTGGACTGACAGTTTGGGGCTTCAGGTAGGTAGACTAGGGGGCGGGTGTGAGTCTCCAGCGGTGCTTGGCAACATGTGCTTCGCGGATCAGCTGTGGTACCTTGTGTCGACCCTGATCGCGTGGGCCTACTTCTCCGAAGAAGGCAAAGACTCTCCGGTGCTGCGACGACCCTTCTCTGCAGATACTTCGGAAATCAGCTTTGTTGATTGGGGGTATGCCTACACCACATTGCGCTCGTTTAAAACGGCTCGTTTACCTTGAGGGTTTGTCACACCAAACCATCGTTAGAGGACCCTCCTGGGCACCGGTGTGGCTCCTGCGTGGAGCTCGAAGATGGTACCGCGCTTTCACCTTCTGTCTGGCAGGTTTGGGCTTGCTCCTTGCGACAGAGTTGGTGGGGGTCTTCTGGCTGCGGGCTGCCTATGGTCTTTGCGTCTTCCTCGCAGACTTCGTTGCTTTTGCAGCTTATGGCGGGCACACAGGCTTCGTCTTCTTTTACACTGCTCTCGCGATGCTTCTCCCCCCAGGCAGCACACGCTCTGGCGTACTGCGGCTCATTGTGGCCCACCAGCTGGGCTCTCCAGCCGTCAACAAGCTGCAGACTGGTGGTTGGAAGTGGCTGGACCCCAGTACGTTGGAGTCGCACATACGTTTTGCCCGAGAGAGGGAGCTGCCCTTCAAACCACACTGTGTGGTGGAGCCGTCCCCTGGCTAAGTCCTATGGTGGAAACAGAAGGCTCAAGCCATCAGAAATCGCTGCGGCCATAGATGCTCATAGATATCACTTGCTGCTCGAAGCAGGGGATTCCAACAGAACACCGTGCACCTAACAAAAACCGCCCTTGTACAATTTTCGTCGTTCTTACTTGCCTACTGCGCTCGGATACATGGAGCCGAGGCCGTGGATTCGGCGGCCTGGGATGATGGATCTATGCCTGCGTCACCCATGGCTTTTGGCTCTGATGCATTGGGCAGGGCTGGCCACGCAGCTCCTCGTGGTCCTCGCCTGCCTTCTCGGCGGCCAAGTGGCCCTCTCGTGGGCCTGCGCGGCAGCGTGCAGCTTCCACGTGCTGGCAGCTCCACTGTTAGGCATAGTTTTCCCTTTCTCTATCCCCTGCTACATGCTGGCCCTCTTGCCCAGCTCTGCACATGATGTTTCGTGCTTGCGGAGCTTCCCAGCCCTTGTGACGGCCCTGCTTCTGGGCACCACCACCTTCTTCGCCACGGAGGACTGGCCACTGAACGGCTTGGCCGTTTTCCCGCACCTCACTTGTTAACTGGACGCTTTGTGTTCATGGTTTTGGCTTCTGGTGCTGTGCAAAAACTAGTCGTTCAAGCAGCCTTTTTTGCAGCGATTGTTTTTGGAAAGTGGGAGCTTCAATTTTCGTTTACGGTTTACCTGAAGAGCAAGGTACAACGCGGAGCAGATGAAGGTGCTGCAGTCTATCTTTGGCCGCTACTTGCTGGCACACTCCGAGGGCGAGCCGCGTGCATCCGGGATCTGCTTGACAGAGCTCTGTGTCAGCATCTGCCCTGCAAACCTTTACCCCTGCCACTTGAAAGCCCTTGGAGGCGGCTCCTTCGGTGACTCAGCTGAGTTTTTGCTGAGCAATGAGGTGGCGGCGAAGCTTTCCGAGTGGCTTCGCCACACTCGTCGCTTCATTGATGAGCGTGCCGATGGACAACCCGGTCGCTGTTTTGATGATGTTGTGGTTGCTGAAATCTCGTCAGAAAGTGCCAGATTGGGGGCTTGATCCAGGCTCCCTAGATCTTCCTTTGGCGCCAAAGCGCGGCATTTAGTTGTTGCAGACTTTAAAAATAGGAGTGCCAGTACGGCAGGCTTGTCTTCCCGCAGTATTGCTCTGAAACTTTGGAATACTGCTCCAATGCCGTCTGGCCTGACTTTCTCTGCACACTGAGGGCACCAGATCTGCAGGGCGCTGCACAGAGCGAGATAGCCCTCCCCAAAATAGACTTGAAAAAGCAAAGGGAAGTTTCAGGATTCGGGTGACTGGTGGCTCTCAGCGCTTGTCCCATGCCCAAGGATGAGCCGTGCAGCTGCAAGTGCTAGGTCCGTCCAGGCCTACGTTGCTTGGAAGCCACCTCATCTGGAAAGCACAATCTCATTGTGGGCCCAGATGAAAAGCAAGTTGTGCGCCAGCAAACGATATCCCCATTCACATATGTAAGTGCAAGTGCAAGTGTAAGTAAGTGCGTGTCTCTGTGTGTCTGTGTGTGCGTGTGTGCGTGTGTGCGTGCGCGTGTGCGTGCATGTGCGCAGTGGGCAGTGGTTCTTGTTTTTGGTTCAAAGTTTTGTGAAGACGCACCCTACCCAACCCCAAAAGTGCCATGGCGAAACAGTCCTGGCAGATCGCTCGCTACATTTGGGCTTAGGCTATCGGAAGTTGCAGTATGCCCAACCCAGTTTGAGAGGCTCCGAGTTGCTCTTGCGTGTCTTTTTTTCAGATTCTGTTTGCTGTTTTTTGGACTCAAAAGCGATGGTCCTTAAAGGAAGCAGAAGAAGGCTTTCAGATTCCATCGAACAGCGAAGCAAGACAACTCAGACCTACGCCTGTCTCATGCAGTGTAGTCTTTGCCTGATCTGAACCAGCAAGGTCTCTATGCAAAGGGGGTGCTGGAGTTCAAACTCGGCTACTAGTAGGATCTTTGTTTTCATAAATCCAGAAGTGTGGAATCAGGCCATGATTTGCACGTACCCGACTCCACCCCCCCCACCCCCGCCGCATACCCTGCCAGCCATTCTATAGGTGCTTTCCCTCACATGCTGGCAGATGTGATGTCAACCAATGCAGAGGCTACCGGTATCACAGGCTGTTGCTGCAGCTGTGGAGAATCTCACAGCCTTTCTGTGCACCACACGTCGCTCGGAGTTCTGCCTGAGCCATGGCTTCGACCACGGACCTATTGCCTCGTCAGCCTTTACTGTACCCTTGGAAGCACGTTTGTTTAAATGCGGTGTTTGTTGCTGGTTTAGGGGAGCCTTTGATAGCGTTGCTTCCTAAGGCAAGGTGCGTACGCAGAGCCAGCACCTTGTTCACATCGACCTGCTATCACCTCCAGAGGATGCACCCAGTCATTCCCATCCCCGAAAGTGCTGCTGTACTCAGCGTCTGGTGCGGCCGGAACCCATGGAACTTCAGGTCGGCAAGGCGGTTATCCCGCAGGTGCAGGTGGTCGAGGTAGTGATGGGCAGCCAGGGCAACATGCCGGAACAGTCGCCATCGTGCTTCATGGGGATGCAACAGGTTTCACCGTCAATGGCCAGCGTTTCGCGTATGCGGACGTTGACTCGATCGGTGTTGCAGCTGTTGGCGGCTCAGGCGGTCAGGGTGGGAGGGGCGGAGATGGTGGTTCTGGTGCCCCAGGCCGCGATGGCAGCGATGCAACCCGCTACAGCCCTGGTGGGAATGGTGGCTGCGGTGGAGATGGTGGCGATGGCGGACCGGGAGGTGATGGCGGGCGGGGCGGAGACGGCGGAACGATTGCGGTTGCTACTGCGGAGGAAGATGCTTACCTGCTGATGATGATGCCGCTGGAGTTGGAGCCAGCCGAACTTGCAACCCTGGTCAACGGTGGCCGTGGAGGCGATGGTGGCCATGGTGGCTCAGGCGGTCACTTGGTTAGGTTCTATTGTCCTTGCCTGGGTATGAGATGAATGTAGAGAATGCAATAGGGATGTTCCGAGAGTAGGACTGGATCTCTCAGACATTGAGCACCCACTTCAAAACAAACATCGTAGCCAAGGTGCTGGAGGTCGCGGGGGCCGGGGCGGTGCGTCGTATTCTTGGACGGAGTCATATCAAAAAGCGGCCCGGCAATTCAACCCGAGCTTCTGATTGCAGACCAAATCCCGGTCGCTTCTCACGTGCGTAATGCTGGCCTGAGGTGTGTTCTTTAGGGCTATGGTTCAGCCCTGTTGGTGCAAGATACTCCTGTGTAGGATTATCGATTGTAATTGTTGCATTCAGTCTTCAATCCGCTGCCTTTGGTTACCAGACACCTCACGGACCCTCGAAGTCCAAGGATAGTGGTCATTGAAGCTCCCGCAGTGGAACCCTGCACTACGTACAACCGTCTGGAAAACCGTCTGTCCAATGCTTCGACCTTCAAAGTCGGTTTTTGGGGTCAATGGCTGTGGTTTAGGGTTGAGGATTTAGGGTAAAGTTTGGGGTATCTATTTTTGTTGTCGCTTACTCCAGGATGGTGAAACCTTCACGACGCACCATCATCAACCAGGCGCCTCAAGGAGGTGAACTTGTTCACGGGAGTACATGCGACTGGTACTCCTCCTGCTGCTGCTGCTCCTCCTCCTCCCACGACGATCACTAGCGAACAGGACGAGAAACAGCGGATACTAACTATCGGTGGAGACTGTCGAGAACCCAGAATCTTGAAAGTCCTGGTGAGGGCTGTCCTTCTCTCCTCGTGAGGGTTGTCCTTTTCCTACTCGGTCCTATTGCATCACACATGTTGTGGAGGTGGCAGTGATGGGCCATCTGGCAGCCCTGGTCTTAGTGGAAGCTCGGCCAATGTGGAGTTAGCCGTGAGGATTCGGGGGTCTTCGGACTTGGCCTTCAAATTCAATATAAGATAATATTAATATAATATAATGTAGGATATATACAACGTAATGTAATGATGTAATATATTCAAATATAGCACATACATATATATATATATATGTATTTATTTATTTCACATATATATATTATATATAGATTTATATCTATATATATATATATATTTTTTACAGAAGACAAAATATATCTCATACAATAAGATTTATAGGCATAGTGAGTGTGAAGTCGCTCCAGCGGTCCTGGCCGTGAGGCTTGTGAGCTTTAACGGTAAGGTTTAGGGCGGTCATTGCACAGTCCCTCGCGATGGAGATGTGAGCCACGCAATGAGGCCGTGGTGGTCTTGGAGGCAAAGCTGGGAGTCAGGGTCTCTACGGCATTCAAGTGGGAGGCATCGAGTATGTGCGCCGGTGCCAGGTCCTATTTAGAGCGCCGAGGTTCAGAGGAATTCCTTTTCAAGGCTTCCACTCTGTCTGGGTCTATGTTGCAAAGATGTGGAGGGCTCTGTGGTTGCCGCGAGTTTAACAGTTTAGCATGCCATTTCTAGTCGTTTGTTCTGGTCTCTCTAAAGAATCCCAGGTACCACATGGTATGCAACTCTTTCCAGTTGATTGAGCATCCAGACACACCGCAAGACCATGATGGCTTATTCGAGTTTGGTGAAATGATTGCTTGCAGCCAGTTCGCCGTGCAGAATCCAATGAAGGGTAGTATGTCAACACCGACCATCCATCAAAGGGCTGAGATCTACCTCCGACCGGGAGCGAAGTGGACAGAGCGAGCGCCACATGGCCCACGAGTATTTCTAGGCCCTAACTTGAAGATGACAGGAGGGGCCCATCATTCCGTCACGGATCAGATATTGCATTGTTTCATCAAGTACCCGGATCTGGATGAGTATGGAGAGGACTTCGAACCCATCTCCATCACTGACCGAGTCTTCTTAAACTGTGCGCAGTGGGGGCATCAAGACATGGAGGAGAACTTCGTCCGTGATTTTCACAGCTTCGGAGACCAGTCATCACAGGCGTTCGATGCACACTTTCCCGTTGTCAACCTGAGGGGCATTGATGCTTTGCCATCAGTGGCTGCTGGAGAGCGCTGCGTAGTCCGCTTCCACGTCAAGAACAGTACACGCCTCCCTCTCGGTGATGGGCAGCCCCGCGGTCGGAAGGTTATTGTGCAGTGGGAGCCCAAGGAGACTTCAACAAGATCCCCGTGTGTGAGTTTCGTGGATCTGCGTGACGAGTTCAGCAACCCGGCGCCGCCAGGCTTCTTCACAAACCTTCCCAACCTACCAAGCCTGGGCAGCGACTTTGTGCAGATCCAGCTCGGCTGGCGCGAGGACACACCCGACTTCTCAGAGCTTTCGCTCCATGCCACTCTAGGCGTACAAACCCCATCCGCACACGCCTGGAAGAAGGCCCCAGCGAGCATGGCTTGGGAGATCGGCGGGACATATGGGACCCACGTTCAGAAGCGAAAGCATGTTTTCAAGTGCATTCCATCCTTCAAGATTCCTACTGGCTATGCAGACGCAGCCGTTTCAGCAATCGTCATCGTCTCGCCTGGTGCAGACATGGCCGTGTGCAAGCACTGGGTGGACATGTTGAGACAGGACTTTGGGATCCCCACAGCCATCTGGAACATGCAGAAATACGGCCATTTCGAGCCAGAAAAGGAGGAGAGCCTTTGCGAGATGCTCAGTAACTCGCAGAACCTGTTGCTTGTGGTTTTCGATTATCCATTTCAAGTCCAAGCTGCCAAAGCCAAGTCTGAGTTGGAGATGGTTCTGCCCTCGGACTTGCTCAACCAGACCACACTGCGTCGGCATTTACAGCCTTCTAGAAGCCGGGTGCTTCTCATTTCAGAGAACGAGGCTGCCAGGACCCGTGCACAGAGACGATTGGGCGCTATTGTCGATTTGTCTCAAGTCTCCGAAGAGGAAGGCGTAGCCCTAGGACCTCAGGATTCCCCCGACGAAGGCCACTTTACTGTGCCCTGCACAGCCCACGCCCCGTCCAGTTGCTGTTTGTCTGCCTCTGGCAATGCTCGCGCAGTGCAGAAGCTGGCCTTGAAGCTGTGTGAAGATCATGGGGCCCCAGGACGGCGCATGATCGCAGTGCACAAGATGTTGGAAATAGGGCCAGCAGATGCACCTTCTAGTTGTGGAAGGTTTCCGTGGCTGGTTGGCTATGTGGACTTGCTCGTGGAGCATCAAGCAGACTGGGATTTGCCCTTGGAGATCTACGGAGTAGAGGGCCTTGCTGACCTTGAGTCTTGTCATCGCCACCGTAGGGCCTTGACCTTTGCAGTTGTGGCCTCGTTGCCGCGTGCTGCCAAAGTGGAGCATCTGATCTCATGCCTGAAGCAAGTGCAAGCAGCCGCAAGCACGTCTGCCGACCTGACGGCCAATGAACAGATGCTCGAGCTCTATGTGTGGGCTTTCTTGCAGGAGGTGAGGTGTGAGCTGGCAGCTGCAGGCCCGGACATGGCAAGGCCAGTTGAGGCCTGCGTGCCATCGCTGCTCCTCCTGAACCAACAGCTCTCGACAGCTGAGCTAGCACGGCTCCCGGATCACCACCGTGGCGGTCAGTCGCGTGGAGTTCACTCCAGCTGCTACTGCAATGGTCCGAGGAAAAACACGGTTTGGGCTTGCAATCTGGCTGAAGGCACGGCGGGAAAAATTGTCTTTGCAGTTCCACGGTCCTCAACTCACAAGCTGCATGCATCACAAGAGAGAGGCAAGCTCCTGAAGCCTGAGGCGGAGCCACTGACGCTGAAGCTGGCCAAGCTGGTGACCTGTCTTCAAAGAAGGAACAACCCTTGCAATTAGCTGAAGATACTTAGCCAAAGCCTACACAAAGCTTAGTGAAGCCGGAGTACCAACCCAACTAATACATGGAAGGGACTGACATGCACTCAATCATTCTCCTGGTGACGCACATCCGAAGGCATCATTGTGGTGGATTCGGCTGCAGGTCTATTGCAGACGACCAGCCCATGGCAAGGAGTCCATGGGGCACGATGTTGTCATTTGTTGTCCATTCTTGTCACAGGCTCGCGGATTCTGATCCTGAGTGCAAGGGTCGTGTCGGGCTAGTGTTGTTCAGTCTTTTTGGGCGTGCCGGTAGATTTCGGGATATTGGCTTGAAGCATTCAGGGGCTTTGGGCGACATGGTGTCATGTGATATTCAAGAGTGCCAGGAGAGAAGTCCAGAGACAAAAGCCGGAGGGCAGAGTGGGCCTTCTCCCTGAGCTGCGAGCAGCAGCAGCAGTGCCACATGTGGTGGGAGTGGTGGCAATTTGTGGCATTCTTCCTTGCGTCGTTGCTTTCCCTTGGGCTCTTCCTGGTCTACCTCTGCACCAGGCCACATGAATCTCAATTCAAGCGGCTGCCTGTTGTTAAGCTTGCTGCTGGCAGCAGGCTTCGATGTAGAGCACACCTCCTGCGTTTAAACGCCACCCGCGACTTACTTTGTGGGCTGCGCATGCTGGCGGAGTTGGCGCGTAAAGAGAAGCAGAAGGGTGGGAAGAACCCCAAGAGATTGCTTGCCCAGTACTACGACTCACAGATCGCCCAGTGCCAGGCCGTCCTTTTTCCCGATGGCACCCACGAGTCAGTCCCAGGGTTCTTGCGACGGCGCCTGCAAGGATTGCAGGCGCAGTGCCGGTTCTTTGCGAAGGGCAGCTTGCACAGGCTGTTTGGCGCCGAAGGCTGGGCAAGGTGGGCCGACCCAGTCACAAGTGAAGGTCATTTGGACATGTCGCTGCAGCCCTTGGAGCGGGCCCTTGTACTCCCGCAAGCAGAGTGGGAGTATATGTGTGATGCGCACAGGCACGTCCACCTGAAAAGGTCTGAGCGAAGCTTCCGGATCCAGGACAAGCATGGAGACATGATCGTGACAGACGAAACTACGTTTGTGGCGTGCGGCTTGTGTGGCCGCCTCGTTCCCACGCACCACCAAGGTCGACATGAAGCCACCGAGTGCGCCAACAGGCAGCAAGGGCTAGAATACAGCATGTCTATCCTTTCGAGCCCAGCTGAAAGAAAGCTGCTGTCGGACACTTGGACTGCAAGACAGACAAGCGCAAAGCTCTCCAAAAATTAAGACGGCCTAGAGGAATGAGTCAGAAACAACCCCCAACAGGGGAAAATACTAAGAAATGAAAACTCCGTTCAAGCATCCTTTGAGAACCCAGGACAGCAATATCAGCGCCTTGGAAGAGGCTTGTCAGGACGGCCACTCTGCACTGACGCTGGCAGAGCGGCAAAAGCTGCTAGAACCGGATGGATGGGGGATTCAGGGCTTCAGGATTGCAGTGTCCAAGGCCTAAAATTTGCTAGCGGAAGCCGACCAAGTATTATAGTCGCACGGCCGATCGAGATTTTAGTGTGATAAGATATGCTGTTGGAATGCTTCATGCGTGAGAAGTGTTAAGCAAAGGTCTTCTGGATACTGTTGGACGCCACATGCTCTGTTGTGTGCTCTGTACATGTAACTGCCGACCCACACGAACCGGCTTGATGTTGCCACGATAAGTATGTCGAAAACTAGAAAACTAATGACATCCTGCAAGTACCTCCTTCGAGCCCAGCAGTGTTGAATGTGCCATGGAGAACTAGTATCAGTTCTTGCGGCGCGTGCTGTTGTTGCGTGGGGTGGGGGTTGGGGGTGACGATGACCCCGTTCATGCAGACTCGATCTGCGCCACGCTGTCACTCGCCTACTTCAGCAGAGCACCGATCTCCTTCCAGCACGCCATCTCATAAGTTTTCCAAGCAGTCTTTTTGAGGCGGTATTTCTTCTTGCTACACCCCCCGCCCCCCTCTGGCCCGCCCTAGCTGGGCAGGTGGCAATGGCGGCTGATGGGAACCCCACGAAAAGCGGAAGAAGAGCAAGTAAAGCAAGAAAACGCAGCACGGGCGTCCAGCGCGCATCCAAGCACAGGTTGGAACACCTATTGCACTACATCCTGATCGAGCGGAGGCTTCACAGTGTGTTGGCATCATGGCCCAACTGCTTTCATCTTCGGCTTTCAGACAGAATCTCGTTGATTGAGGTCTATGGAAGTATGAGGGTTGTGAGAGCTTTTTTAGAGCCCAAAAGGCTTTTCGACTTGAGGCAAAGGACGATGGCGACGTGGACCCTTTCGAGCTAGATGACCTGCTTGACAAGGACACCAGATGTTGACCCGCCTCTGAGCCCAGAACATCCTTCAGATTCCCCACATCCCACAGCCATGTAAGCTCAACTTCCACCAGTTCCGCAACACATCTAAATTCTCCAAACCTGTAGCCCCTAAACCCTATACACCCTAGACAAGGACTCGCAGTTTCTACAAAGCAGTAACGTGTGGATTCCCTGCAGTGTGTCTCTTTGAGTCAGCTAGGCGGGTGGCAAAAAGAAAAAACCTAAACCCTCGTCTAGACTCAGAATCTGGAAATGTGGAGGTTCGGATGGCCGCAGCCGGGAGAGCCTTGGGCGAGCAAGCTGCCCAAGGTGCCTTGCAAGCAGGCGAAGAATGATTATAGACTATATAATAATATTATATAATATATAAAAAGTGAAAATTATGTTGAGAGTTTAGAATATGCAAAAGTTACTTCATATTTTGTGTTTTTATGTTTTTGTAGTATTATGTTTTTCATGTTGAGTTTTCTTTTATATTTCATTACATGATGTATAACATGTCTATATTATACCGTATATACATGTATGACTATATCTTGCATACTATTTTGTCTTGTGTATTGTTTTCTCTATTGCATATGCTGTTATTACATATTATTACAATATATGAGACATATCTATATACATATATGTGTGTATAGTCTACTTTGTACTTTACTTCATATACAGCAGATTATGTGAGACCTTGAAGTTTACATTATGAAAACAGTAAGGGGGGGTATGAGGGCATCACGCATTTGCGGGATACTTTGTCTAGTCAGTTCATTTTAGGGCGGCTGAGGCATTTACCTCGGCAGTGGCGTGGCCAAGCTCTGGAGAACTATGGACGTCCACACTGTGGGTGAGATTGAAGGCATGCGTGCTGATGGTGTGATGGAGGTCGCCGACATGATCCTTGCGGCGCCAACTCCTCCACAAGGCCAGCAGCGCCAGGAGCTGTTGCAAGCAAGTCTTTCGCACCGATGGTGGGGCATTAAAGGCTTCGAAATGCGGCGTAAAGGCGCTGGAACTGGTGACTCGCCAACTCGGCTCCGAAACGTGGAGGTGGACGACAATGCTCTTCTCAAGCGCGCCGAGAGGCTTCTGGCCCTGATTGACCTAGCTCGCACCTATGGACTGAAGCTGCAGGAAGCTGTCTGGGTGGACGGTGGCTCGGCCTTTCCGGAAGCCGCTACTTATACCGATCTTATACCTGCAGGTTGTAGGCTTGCAGCCTTCGGACCTTGTCTGTGACCAAGGTGGCAAGATTGCGTTGGCACACCTCTGGCTTGGACACCATCACGAGGAGGACTTGACGACCCGGCTCCAGTTCTGCCGTCGCTTCGACCTCCAGGAGCACGAGAAGTATGTCCAAAGGGCTGAGGAGGTGAAGTTGCTCAAAAAGGTTCCAAAGGCCGGGCATCATAAACAACGAATAATCTCCAATGTTTCTGCAGTATGTGACTACACAGTAGCAGATATTGGCACGAGAGCCACCATGAGTCTTCCAGGACTGGGATATCCACGCCATCCTGGAGCGTGGTGGTGCCCGGGACATCGCCCGTGAGCAGATGAAGGATGATGTGGCTGTGGACGCATTCCAAGAGCTTTTTGACTTGTCGTTCAAGAGCACATACACTCGAGACCGGCGTGGAGCCAAACTCCCAGAGAAGATGAGGGTGCTTGCGGTAAAGAAGGTGATGAACCGGGCCGTGTGGGAGAGCTACCTGCTTTTCCGTGAGAAGGTCCGGAAGAGTTGGCTGCGGAAGCTGCGCCCATGGCCAGCATCGGTGCGCCGGCCCATCACAGATGCATGGCCCGACAGTGAACAGGTGAGGCAAGCGGACTTGCTGCAGCCATTGGTCCAGGAGGTTAATGAGGCCTGGTTGTTTCATGGTACCAGCTTCGCAGGTGCTGAGGGCATCACTACAGAGGACTTCAACATTGACCTGGCCGGCTCTGCAGCTGGTACACTGTATGGCCGTGGCGTCTATCTTGCCGAGTGCTGCAGTAAGAGCGACGAGTACACCCAGGCCGATGCTGATGGTGTCCGGGTGATGCTTGTGTGTCGTGCGACCCTGGGTTCCATCCTGTACACAGACGAAGTCTCGCCTAACCCGGCGAAACTGGAAAAGTCATGTGGCTTCATGAGCAAAAAGCCTGGGTGGTACCACTCAGTTCTTGGAGATCGTGAGAAATGCCGAAACACCTACCGGGAATTTATTGTCTTCAATGCGGACTTGGTGTACCCTGCATTCATTGTTCTCTACAAGCGTGAGTGTTCTGGCGTCGACTCGACGGCTGTGGCCACAGCACCATCCCCAATTATCCCCGCGGCGCCGGCCCCGAGCTCAATGCCGGTCCCCGTAACCCCGGCAACCGCCGCAACAGTGTCGGGCTCTCCGCCAGTGGCTCCAGCGACTGCTGCGACCCCGGCAACCATGACCCCCGGCACGGTGATCCCGGACGCGCCGCCCCCGAGCGCAACTGCTGTAACTATCTCGAGGCACTCGAGCTCCCCGTCTCCGGCAACTTCTGCGGCGCTTGCGCCTCAGATGCCTCAAGGATCTCCCAGTGACCTGGTGCCCACACCGCAGCCCGAGCCGAGTTCTGGTGAGGAGCCAAAGTCCAACTCGGTCAGGGCCGGAGAAAAAGGGCATGGACGATCGACTTTAGTTTCACTTTGACAATGGCCAAGTCGAAATGAACTGGCGCTCAGTCTCAGACAGAAAGCGAGATACTCTGGAGTTCTTAAGTGGAAGTTCCCGCGCATCACTCGCAACGTCTCAAGCATCACTACATATCATGACAACTCCTTTCTGTCAATGCTGACCGCTGTGCGGATCCTGCTGCCTTTAGGGCAGCAAGGGGCACTTGCACGCAGAACGCAATCCTGTTTCTACACATAGTTTCGGTGCTTCTGGAGCCTCTTGCGCGCCGGCTCAGGTGTGACAGGCTCCGGCGGCTCTGGTTGAGTTGCGAGGATCCAGCAGATGGTTCGGGGCGTTGAAAAATAATAAGTTGTTTGGGTGACCCAGAATCTGTTCCACTTGAGTACATGGTGTTTCGCCGCGAAGTTCGCAACGGATCTGTCATGATTTGTCTGCAGCTGCAAAGTAACGGACGGTCGTTGTTAGAGCCCTGCACTGCACGTAGGCTAAGTAGGCCCCGGCCTTGAAGTGGGTTACTTGTGCTTCTAGTTTGTCTGGGTTCCTGTGTTGCTGTGTTGAGAACTTGCAGCACTCGGTACATCCAGAGCTTTTCTGAGCTAGGCAACCAGGGGAGCTGGTTGCCCTGCCTGATCCTGGGATCGGCCGAGCAGAAGTCCGAGAGTGCTGGATTTCTAGTGCTAGATTTGGTGGTAAGCTTGGAAGTTTGGGCTTTGTGCTTTGTTGCCTGGGGTGGCGCAGGACGTACAAGGGGGCTGTTCCCGAGCTGAAGTTGGCTAAATTTGGCTTTTCGAAGTTGGGCCGAAGATAAGGCCGCGCGGAGCAGTGGGCCAAAGTAGGTCCGAGGATGCTGGGCAATAGGCTTTTCTGAGAAGCTCCGGGATGTTAGCATAGGGTTTTCCCGACAGACTGCACCTTTCGGAAAGCGCCCCAGGTGAAGAGGCTGTCACTCAGATGTCGGGAAACTTTGATCCCGAGATGAAGGGTTGAACTGGGCCTTCGGGTTTCAGGGTGTTTTAGGAGCCTCTGCCTGGAGTTAATGGGTGTTTTTGGGGAGATATATGGCTTATTTTGTTCCGGCTTCTCTAGAGTTAACAAGAAGGCTTGACTTTGACGTTCGCGTAGCTGCTGCACCAGATTCAACGCCAGCTGACTCAGATGCCCAACATCGACTGCGACCTTGAAAAGGAGTGATTGAGTCACGACGAATCCGGCCGCAGGTGCCATATGAGAGTGAGCGACCAATAATGTGACCTGACTTTGTCGTCGCCAAGCGCTTGACATGAAACGCATGTCCGAGGTCGTATAGTGCTGGTTGCCATAGCTTGTGGATAGGGCCGCGTCTCTTTGTTGAGAAAGGGTGTCGCGCGAGTGCAAGATTTTCCCCGATTGGGCTTGTCCAATTCGACACTTCATTCTCTGATTATCTCTGCTCATCTCTTCTGAGAAACAAAATCCTTCCCAACATCCCAATATGAAGATCTCCGAGAGAACTTTGAAACTCTTCTTAAGACGACCCCCACATCCCGAGACTCGGACGGTCTTATATCTTCGGGGGACTCATCATCGATCTATAACATCTCTACTAACCCGAACAAACCACATGACTGCAAGAACCCCCCCCCCCCCCCCCCCCCCCCACCCCCAATTTTATGCTCGCGCTTGTTGTTTTCTAGTCGCCTTTGCTGTTTGGACTCAAAGCTGGTCCTTAAAGGAAGCAGCTGCATCTTGGTACCAGTCCTGTCCAGGACAGTCTGTTTTGTAAATCATGCTTCGAGTTGGGACGCATCACATGAGAGGCAAGCCCACCCGCAACGTACCCTCACGCACCAGGAACAAGAAGAGTGATCCAGAACGATGCAGTAGAAGTTCATTGTAGTGGGTCAATTGTGTCAACATTGTGGCATCTCAATGCGTTCATTGGGGATGCAGTCCAAGCCATCCAAGCCGGACGGCGGAGGCCAGCACTTGCACCCGGGTTAGGCGGGTTAGAGGTACCCATGGTACCCTAGCAGCTGTTTCTGCATCGTCGAAACATCCAGACCTGTCGTTTGCTTGGAGTCTTTACCTGGCGGTCCAGCTGCAGGTTGTGCAAGCTGCAAATGATGCAACTGTTGGCAGGGGCACATGCCTCCAGATATTCGGATTCCTGAACCTTTCAACCCTCAAGCCCCAGAACGCATTAAACTCAAAGAGCACCTCCAAACCCGTGCAAACTTGAAGTCCAGAACCTTCAACTCCATGCAGCCTTCGGCTAGGCCCGAAAGTTGTCCCCACGTGCTTCGCCAGGTGCACGGCCCAGCCGGCTAAGCCGCTGAGCCGAGGCCGCTCCAGCTCTAAGGAGTTTTGTGTGGTTTTAAACGGACGTTTTCTTTGAGGAGGGGGGGTCTTTCAGTGCCTTTCTCGAGGGTTGCGTTTCGGGAGCCTTCGGTGCGTAGAGGGGCTTGAGCGGCTTGGGATTTCAGGAGTTTTGGGCCTGAAAGATCTGAGGAGATGCTGCCTCCGATTTCAGGTCTAACTCCTCAACCCGCGGCTAAAGAGTCACGTTTATAGATACACATGACCTGCTACTGAAAGGATCTGTGGGGCACTGCGTGAGCCTTGTGGAGTTGCTGAACCTTGTCAATCTCTGCAGCGTGGCGGGGTCTGCTTGGTGGCAAAAAAAAACCATGAACCTCCAAGCCTCCAAGCCTCCAAGCTGAACATGACTGTTCACAGGAAGCCTCTCCTAGTACCTGGGCTTCAGGGTTTAGATTCTAACCTTACCCTCTCTAAAGGGTTCTGATGTATGGGCCCTTGGGTTGTATAGGGTGCTGTTCGGTGCTGCCAGTACTGAAGAGTTGAAGGTTACCCTGAAGAGTACAGTAGATGGCTTATTGGGCAGAACCATGCCTGGAGACTGTCTTGGATCGCCTGACTTGTCCGAGCGTGAGCGATTAGACCCTAAACTCCAAACCCCCTGAAAGTCCCCCCCTAAACCTTGAATTATGAAGCCAGAGGCCCCCTTCAGAAGATGATCCAAACTCCGCGGCCGCGGTCTAGGCCTGCCACGTCAAAGGGGGAGAGGTCTGAAGGATGACTAGTCCACAACAAATCCCTAGGCCCGAGAAGCCCACAGGGAGTGAGCCTTTCTTTAGATGTAGGGCTTTGCGAAGCACAGGCCACCACCCCAACTATTGCCTCTTAGAGTTTGGGGTTGCTTCCTCAATGGCCACCTTTAACTTTATGTCGAAGGCGTACTGCACCCCGCTGCACTTGGGACACAGAAGCCTCCCAATGTTTGGTTGCTTTTTTTCCGAACCTCAGTTTAGGCACGCCTTGCCACGAGCGATGTTGATTCCATGGTGCCCTGAGCTCTCAACGCTACTTGGAGAATTTGTGGGTTATACGTATGGTACTAAACTCCCATCGAGGACCGAAACCAGTTCTATCTAACAGCAACCCCACTGACAACCCCAGTTTCTCCTACCATGCGCCTCCAAAACCCACCTTTCCAGCGCTGGAGGCTTGTTCCTGGGGGCTAGCAAAACGGGTTTAGGGCTTAGGGTCTCTTATCCGTTGCAGCGCTTGCTTTTCGCAGCTCAGGCCTAAAAAGGTTTTGGGGTTTGCAGGGCAAGTTTACTTAACATCAGGCACCTGAACCGCGACGTGGCAGCGGCAGTCCCATGCAGAGCTTCACCTAAACCCTACATCCCCAAGCCCCAAAGCACTCTTTGTGCTCCGCGACCCCCCTCCGCCCCAACATCGCCAAACCCTGAACCGCAAATCTCTGTAAGCTCCAAACCCTAATCCAAACCCTACAAAACACCTTCCGCGTTACATGCTAGGCCCCACACCCCCATATTTTATCGACCCTAAGCCAGGTCCGTCAGCGGCCGGGGCTGCCCGTCGCCTAAAACGGCGGGGTTGGGTTGCGCTTATTTAGAGCTTCAAGGATTTGGGTTGCATGGCACAGTTTCAAAAAGATAGGTTTAGGCGCAGACGTTCAACGACACCCGAAGCTGTTTTTCAAAAGGTCACAAGGATCCTCAAATCCACCCCAGCAGCGGCGAGAGCACAAGAGGTGGTTGCGCGCGTTGGCGGCGGCTTCATCTACCGGACGGAGGCGGTTGTACTTGGAGGTTCATGAGTCGTTCTAAGCATAGAATTCGCCAGACCTTTCCAGCGTTTAGGGTCTTTGTTTGCTGCTGGGTTGTGCAAAGGCGCGGCTTGGTAGTCCCAGCTGATACTCTGAGTCTGGGTTCAAAAAAGGATTGAGGAGACCTTATGAAAAGGGTTCGGGCATAAATCTCTGAAGCCCCAAGCCCGAAAACGCTCAAACCCCAAAAATCCCAAGCCCTAAATCCATTCAGACTGGGGGTCAACCACCTCCTCCACCTCCGCGTCGTGTGGCATCGCCTTCGCCACCTCGGGCGCCGCCTGACCCGACAGATGGCTTCATTTGGGGGGTTCTGCTCGAAGTCGTGTGGGTTGTTGGCATTTAGGGTGTAGTGCTTTGCGCTTTGCATGGAGGATCCGGACTCAGGGTTTGGGGGGGAGTTCAGGGTTGAGGTGTCCATCTAGCGGTGGCAGCCGGTAGCCTTACAGGTTTTTGAGTTTGGCAGGGCAGAGGCGAGCTGGCTGTAAGTCCACTCGAGCTACACTTCACCAGGGTGAAGGGTTTCATTATCATTTCTTTACATGCTTTGCCATCGTCCACAGCAGATGGGTATAGCTGCTGAGAGGTTGAACTGCATGGAAAAGAGTTCGTAGTGGCCCCAACTGCTTGTTCAGAGCTTCAGTTCGTTGCAGGTTTCCTGGAAAGTAAGACCTTTACAAGCAGGGAAACAGAAAGGAGGCTTTCCGTTGCCCAGAGAGAGAAATGGTCAGGCTTTGGGGTTGCACTCGCTTTGTGCTTTATCTTTTGGACGAAGCTCTTCCAAGCCGAGGCGAAGCCCACCTCCTCCAAGAGTGATGCAGGCACCGCCCCGAGCCCTCAACCCCCCCCCCCCCCCTGGGCCTACAATCCTTGCGCCTTCACCCTAAACATCCTTACACTCAAACCTAATCCCTAAATGTCTAGAGGTGCTGTGCTCAACCCCTATCTCCCCTCTTAAGGACTCTTGCAAAGTGCTTCATTGGGTGGGCTGCTATGCCTCCGGGCATGGCATTCGGGCATCGGAATGAAGAGAAATTGGCAACATGTCAAGGCGTTTAGCTTGGCAACACGCATGCGCTCCAGCCGAATGCCGAAACCCCAAGCCCGAGCAACAGGAAACGGCAAAGTCTAGTGTTTGGGTGTATCTTCTATGCTTCCTATCTAAACCCAATGGCAGGACGTTCATTCCAAATACCACAGAGCACCAGGACACTTCCATGCTCCAACGGCTCGCCCACCTGGAGGAGTCGACAGTTCTGGATGTGTGGCTGTCCTTTGCTTGGGCAGCGTGTCAAGATGACCGGCTAGATGCTGCAGTGACAGTTGTAAATCCATTGTCATGCTACCCTCCACCCTGCCCCTCTTGCACCACTTCAGCATCCTCAGCCTTTCAACGCCTCCCTCCAATCTACCACGCCACAACCCTCCGCAACACCAAGACAAGGCTATTTTCGACCTTGCTCAATGCACGCGTCACTCCAAAGACAACCCTCACTTCACCATTGCTGGTACTCTTTTGCAGAGGAAGAGGTGGTCCTGCTTCGTGCCGACAACGCCCGCTTGCTCCAGGCCCGCGCCAACCCTATACTCACAGACTGTCCAGTTCAAGGTCCTTGGATGTCAGATTGCGGGGCGTCTCATTCTTCTGTTCATATCGCGTAGAGAGCATGGTGGGTCTACCAGCCTCTTCCCGTCAGCCTCCCCTGCGGCTTTTCGACCAGGCTGTGCATGCGGGCACTGAGTCTGTGGAGCCTGGGCGCGAGATAAGGCAGACTCCCGTGGGCTTGGTGCGACAGCAACGTGCACAGCTGGAGCCAAGGCAGGGCCGCGACGCGCCTTGATGTTGTCAACCCTGCAATGTGGGTGGTTGAAAGTTGGCGTTCTGGTGCTGAGCGGCGGGTCCGGGTGGATGGGTGGGATGTACAATGAAAGCCCCGAAACCTGTAGTCACACGATTTTGACGTAGAACGAGCGCCGAAGCTAGGCAAAACCTCATGGCGCTGTAAATATGGAAAATCAGGTTTTGATCCTTAAAGGGCTGTATTCATCCTGGGGTCAAGATAAGACCGAGTTGTATTTGCTGCTGCTGCCGCTGCCGCCGCCGCTGCCGCTGCCGCCGCTGCCGCCGCCGCCGCTGCTGCTGCTGCTGTTGCTGTGGCTGTTGCTGGTGAGATGGAGGAGGAGGAGGAGGAGGAGGAGGAGGAGGAGGAGGAGGTAGTGGTATAGTGGTTGTGGTTGCTGCAGTTGTTGTGGTGGCGGTGGTGGTGGTTCTTGTTCTCGTTCTTGTTCTTGTGGTTCTCGCATTTCGGGGTTATGATTGCACGGTGATCACAGCCACAAAAACATCGCTGGCTCCCTTTCGTTGCACCCACGTACACACCTGTGACATAGAGCTGGGAGTCACTTGTGGACAGTGAGGTGCCAAGATTGGGAAGCAGTCGAGCGTTCCCGTTCAAGATGTCCGTCGATGTGGGATTACAGTGGCGACAGCAGCCCAAGGATTGCCAGAACCCAAGCAACCCCACAGACGGCCTGGTCGGATAATCACTGCTGGCATGCTCTGGACCTTTTGCGAGCCTCATCTTCATCACCCGCGCCGGTCTCGGAGGGCAAGGACACAGGACGGTTCTTTCGCATTGCTTTCCCTAGACGCCACCATAGCTTGCAGCAGCTTGACCATCGCTTTGCCTGATCCAGGGCATCGATGTTTTATTCCATCTGGTCACCATGGTCACCCCTACCCCTGCAGCCGCTGCGACGATGTGGCCGGGCTTACATTTCAAATCCCGTAGAGTTTTCTTGCTCAGAAGCCGGTCTCCCGGTCCACCGAGCCTCCCGTTAAAGAACCCTACCATGCCAACGCGCTCAGAATCTTCGACTTGGTCTGCAAGACGTTGCCCATGTTGCTCAAGCAGGCCAGGCTGTCTGTTGTTGTTTGTTTGTGTGTGTGTGCGCGCGTGCGTGCGCGCGTGTGTCTCCAACGATTGGACAGACTGTAGACCATCTTGTCAAGGTGTCATGCCGTTGGTCACAGCGCCGTGGCGTGCGGGCGGAGGGGAGACCCTCACGGGTCCTTTACAAGGTTTTCAGGCGGCAGCCATAGACCTGGAACACCCAGCTGCTGTTGCTAGACATGACAGAAACCCAAGCCGAATGCATCAGCAGCACATGTCCTCGTGTGAGCAACCAGCGCATTCAGGGTATGCCCAGCCAGGCCCTGAGCACCGATTTGCAGGCCACTGTCGGATACTGCTTCGCTTCCTTTGCAGTTTCCAGACATTCGGTTGTGGAAAGTGCTCAGCATCTTGCCAGATGGTTTCTGACATGTTGAAGCGGGGGAGCGCAGCTGTACGGACCTCAGAATGCCTCGCTCCAGCATCTTGTCTCCAGTACCAACCAGCAAGCCTGCCCCTCACTTCTAAGTTATTTCGCGCGGTGGGCAACGAAGGTGCAAGAAGCCGCGCTGGCTGTGCAGAATGCACGTGTGGCTGCAAGGGTTAGGGAAGAGCGCAGGAGACAAGGCGTCGCAGAGGCTGTAAAGGTTGCCGCAAGAGAAGAAGCGAGGCAGAAAGCGCAAGAAGCTGCAGAGGCAGTAGCAAAAGAGGCACAAGCGCGGCAGGCGTGGGAAGCCATACGGGCTGCAGTGAAAGAAGCAGAACACCGGAATGTGCAAAAAGCCACAGAGGCCACGAGAGCAGCAGCACAGCAGCAAATGCAGAGGGCCACAGAGGCCGCCGAGGCCGCGGCAAAAGAAACAGCACAACTGCGGAGAGCGCGGCAAGCCGAGGCCGCAAGGCTGGAAGCGACAGAGAAGCAGGTTCTCGCAGGTTCTTCAGAGACCACAGGCCAGCAAGAAAAGCAGCAAGCGCTGGCAGCCACAAACGCGGCAAGAGAAGTTGCGCTTCAGAAATCCCAGGAAGTTGCGGAGGCCACAGGAGAAGAAAATATAGAAGAAATGCGCAAAACGCGGGAAGCGGATGAGGCCAGAGCAGGAGAGGCAACTTTTGAGAAACCGCAGGCGGATGAAGGACTGGAAGCCAGACGACAAAAGGAAAAGCAGACTGCGCAGGCAGCCACGGAGGCCACGGCGAGAGATGCTGCGCTGAAAGCACGTGAAGTTGTGGAGACCGCACGGCGCCAAGAGCAAGAGCAGGAAGCACTCGAAGCAGCAGAGGCCACGGCAAGACGAGCAGGTGAAGAGTCAGCGGAACCGAAAGCTTTGGATACAAGCCAAGAAGAAGACCAGAAAGCGCAGGCAGAAGAGCCAAAGATGCGAGAGGTCGCACGAGAAGCAACCAGTCCAAAAGTACAGGCACGGAAATCTTCTCAGGTCACACGAAAAGAAGAGCAGAAAACGTGGGAAGCAACAGACGCCGCAAGACAAGCTGCTATTCAGAAAGCCGAGGAAGTCGCGGAGCACACCGGACCACAAGAGGGGCGGAAAGCGTGGGAAGTGGGACATGTCGGAAGTGGGACATGTCGCAGAGAAGCAGGAGTTCAGAAGGCACCGGCACAGGCAGCTTCAGAGGCCACACGGAAGCAAGAAGGGTTAAAAAAATGGATCGCCGCAGGTTCAGCGAGCAGCGAGGATGCGGTTCACAAAGCAAGGGAAGGTGCTGAGGCCACACAGCAAGAAAAAGAGTGGAAAACGCAGGAAGCAGCCTCAGAGGCCGCAGCAACAGAGGCAGCCTTTCAGAAAGCGCAGGCACAAACACCTTCGGAGTCCAGAAGAAAGGCAGAAGCAAAGCAGAAAGTGCGGGGAGCTGAAGCGGCCGCGGCAAGAGATGTAGAAAAGTCGAAAGCCCAGGAAGCTGTGGAGATGGCAGAGGTTGCTGCAAGGGCACAGAAGCGAAAGAAGCATGAAGGTGCCAAGGCAACCCTCACGGCTTTTGCCGCGAGAGCTGAGGTGAGAGAAGAAACAGAGCAGAAAGCATCGGAGGCAACACGGAAGAAGCGGGAAGCACGGCAAGAACGGGAAGCCACAAAGACTGGCGAGGCTTTTGCAAGGGTCCAGTGAGATTGCTTTCTGCAGCAAGTTGTTGATGCACTAATTCATCCAGGCTCACAGCATCTCGCTCTGCCGTGCTCCCTGGGAATCGTCAGGACACTCGAATACGCCTGCCTTCCCAATTATGTTGTGGCATTGTCGAAACATCCGCAGCAGCCACAGCTTAGAAGGATAACTAGCAAGTTGAGTAGCAAGTTGCAGTTGCCGCCGCCTGATCGCAGGAAGACAGCAGCCAGCGAGTAGGCCCAAGATGCTGGCGCCTTTGCGCAAGTGAAAAAAAGAAACTGGTTGAATGTCGAGGCAGACAGGCACAGGTAACGCGTTGTGGGTCTTGTGCTTCGAACGTGGCTCCCTAGGGTCACAGGGTGACCCTGTCTGTCCGTAGGGGGCTTCGGGGGTCCCTATAAGGCCGGCTTTTTCCGACACGTCCTCGATCGCTTGTGCTCTGGCTTGCTCTACTTCAGCTAGGTTGCCGAACAGAAGGGTTTCATTGCAGCCCCCGAAACAAGCTACCTTGCCCAGCGTCAAGGAATATGGCTTCGTCGGCCGTTGGGATATTTGAAATGTAGTAAGACCGCACGCCCACGGCAAGTTGAAAAACGAAGAAAGTAGTTGAAAGCTGCTTGAAAGAACTTATGGTGTCTTTGCAAACGAAGAAGCGCTTAACGTCTACGCGCGTGCTCGATTTCCTTGTTATTGAAAACCTTTCTGGATTGGGTTCTCATTTATAGCGATTCAGTGCGGAAGGCGCAATACTGGCTCGAATTCTGATAGAAGGGAAAGAATGAAAGAAAGGATAGGAGGCTCAGGCACTGTACCGGACGCAATAAACAGGCCAAGGAGGCTCAGGTGGGCAATTGTACTGGATGCAATAAGCAGACTAAGGCTAAGGAGGTTCAGGCGGGCAACTGCGCTGGAACGTGGCCAGACGTAATAAGCAGTGTCAGGCGGGCAATTGTATCCCTAAACCCTAAGCCGTCATGTCATGTGGAACAAGAAGTTGAAGGGGCTAGCCCCCTGTTTTGGAGGGGCCTTTCACAAGGAGTTGTCCGCGTGATGCCCCCAAAAGCAACCCTCCCGTAGAGTTAGCCTTCTTTGCCGCACGCATAGCTGGCTGGAGGTTGCGCAGCAAGGTGGCCGAGGTTTCAGAAGTTAGGTTGTTTAGGGCAAGTTTAGGGTTTAGAGTTTGAGGTAGCAAACCTCGGTTTTATAGGGACGTAGGTTTGCGTTTCAGGCATTTAGAGAGGAGCTGTCAGGGTGGGATACTCGAAGTGGTAATATTTTCATTTTCTCACCAATTCGCTTTAAATATATTAATATTGAAATTCTTATCTTCACTTGAAAATATCAAATTTCGAAGATTAATAAGGATGATATTTTCAAACTTTGAGATTGCGGGGAATTCTATATTTTCAAATTTCGTTTCGTTGATATAAGATTATGGATCTTTTGTTCTGGAAAACAATAAATAGTAAGGAATATAGATATTGGTTCTTATCTTGGATTCTATGGGTTGGATTATGAAATTGATATTCTTAAATTTAATACTGGGCCAATTTGAATATGATTTATTGAAATAATAAAATATTTGATGAATCATATTTTTGAACAATTAATACGAATGAATTTCATTTGACTTATGATGATATGGAACCCGTGGTTTTTTTTATGTGGGTATTTTTTTGTTGTGGGTGTTTTTTTCGGGGGCCACCTCGGTGCTCTCGTATCTGAAGCGAGAATTATTATGCCACTAAACCAAATATTTATGGGTTATATTTTATTTTTAGGACAAATGAATTTATGGGGGATTACAATAATTCCAATTATTTTATCTCCATTTCTATCTTTAATAGAATGGTTTTGCGGAGGATATTATATTTATAATCTATTATTAAAGAGGTTCTTTGTCTTTCATTTTCTATTTCTATTTCTTCTTTATGCTTTTCTTCTTTTTCATATTTTTAATCTCCATTTTTTATTTTCTAATAATCCTTTAAGGAGTTCCACTAATAATAAAATAGTATTTTTTCTTTTCATTACTAGTAAAGAGTTCTATGGAAAGATATTAATTCTCTATCTATATCTTCTTCAAATTCATTTCGGCTTCTCTTCTTTCTCATATCCAGATAATGTCTTAGAAGTATGTGGATTACGTACTCTTTTATATATAATATTTGAATGGTATTTCTTATGCTAATATGCTATATTAAAAATTGTCCCAAATAAAAATGCAGGATTCATTATCTTATTTATTTCTATCTTCATCCTATTTTACTTTATGAGAAGTCTTTCAATGCCATTCTATTTTATTATTAAGACGTCCAGTAGATTTAATGGTTTTTATCTGTGTTTTTGGTTTCTTTCACTTTTTTCTTTTATTTGGATAGGTGGTCAATTTCCTATAGATAACTTTCTATCTTATGGTCGTATCTTGTCATTACATTATTATCTTCTTATTTTCTGGTGTGAACTTCGTTGTGTTCTTTCGCTCAATATATTCGCTCTTTCACACACTTCGCACTATTATTCTATTATCTGTACACGCGGCAATAAGTTTATTCGTGAAGCCACGATAATAATAAGGTAAAGAATGCACGCTTATTCTCATAAGATTAGTCCTTTCACCACGTATAACATTAATATAATGCGTGCGTCCCTTACCATTATATTAATATTGTAAGCGTGAAAGGAAGGAATATATGAATTATAATACGTACGAAATATACGCCTAATAAAAGATTTTTATATTGGCGTGTGAATAGTGCGTGCAAAACCCCCAATATAATAATATTATTGTGGCGTAATGAAAGCACGGACGCAATAATAATATTAAATTGGGACCCTCCCTTTCTTACGCATATTTTATTATAATCGCGCGCGAGCTTAGTGAGCAAAGAAGCGAGGAAAAGGACTGGACGTGTGAGTGGTTAACCTTTACTATTATATCGTGAAGAGAATAGTATTAATGAAATTATAAATGAGCCTGCGATCGTATAAACTTTATTAATACGTGAACGTAACAAGTGAGGGGGCCACAAAGTACTATTATTATGGCCCCCTTATAATACTATAATTCTAATGTTCACAAAAGGTGAGTGAATAGAATGAATCCTAGACTCGCGGGTTCCTTGACAGTAGATTCACGGTTCACCTGGACGCATCACTTGGCCGTAACCCCCATTATTAGGATGTCATGAGCTCTCTTGCCTCACGGTCCCTTTCATCTTGTTCACGGAAACCACGCTCATTCTGTACTAAATTCGCTCAGTCTTTTCCCCCCCTTAATAATATAGTACGGGCGTATAAGGGCGAAAAGACCATTATGACGCCCGTAATATATTAATTAAGGGCCCTTTCATGCTGTGTTCAAAGCCCCTCTAAAAGATTTATATTATAATGGGGCTTTTACCTACAGCATTAAAGGGGAAAAGTAGAAAAGCCCAATTTTTTTAATTAAATTCGTGCGTCATTATATTCCTTACAATTTAATATAAAATTATATGGTCTTTTAGTGAATTATAGTACGCGCGTGTAAAGATTATTGATGCGCATAAATGCACTAAATGAATGGGTTTATTTTGCGGGGTTCTTATTCGTGCGGCGTTACATTCATGTGATTCATTGCAAAGCCACATGAAAAGATCTCCCAAAATAGTACTTTAAAGGGGCTTTTTAATGCGCACGGAAAGAACGAACGAAATAAGGGCCCCTTGGGCCCGTAATACTAAAATACTATTCTCGCGGCCACAACAAGATAATTATATGGCCGCTATAATAATACTAAAAGACCTTACAATTTTCAATTGAATTTATAAAGAATGAAATGAAGTGTAAAGACGCATGAAATTCAATTAGAAAATTAGGGTTTTTATCACGCGGGCATAAAATAAGAACACATTGTGCCCGCTAGAATAGTACTAAATTACTACGAAGAGAAAACACTATTATTATATTACAAATGCAGTGAACAAAGTGAACGAAGTGCGTGAATATAATAATAGGATGAGAACGAAGTTCATCTTTCTAAGCTTTAGAATATTGGAAATTCATAAATTTCATAATCTATAATTTTTTATTGGCATTTTCTTGAAATCTTATGGTTATTAAAAGATGTGAGTGAGCCGCATGAATAATATAAAATCAGAGAAGTACACCCGTGGATAATTGAATAATATTATTATAATGAGGGCTTTTTCTCCCTTTAATTCTCAAGATCATATAATTAGTATTATTATAATGTATGCGGGCGTCATTAAATCTTTTCATTCGCGCGCCCGCATAATTTAGTAAATTTAATATTGAAATCTCCTTAATAATCCTATCTTTTGGCCATTAAGGTTTTTTTGTTCACTATTAGTATTATTAATACGCCCAGCGAAGCGAATAAGGGCGCACATAATATTTTCTCTTCGTTCACTTCACTCACTGTATTCACTCACTCAATTCGTTCGTTCCTTATTACAGTGAGCTTGCGAACACTACAATATTAATATCATGACAGGTTCACCTTTCACTCTCTCCAAGCACATGAGGATAGATCAGATTAGACTCCGACAATCGGCCCATGGGCGGCAGCTGAGCGGCCGCCGCGCCCCGGGACAGCTGTAATGCCTGCATGAGAGATGGCTGCCAACCCAGACCGTTATCGTGGGCCTCGTCGGCATTTTCCTATGTCTTTGTATTTCGGGGATTGGAGATGATGGATTCAGATTACCTCAATATCGGTCGGTATATACAAGAGTCCTACCATGCAACAAGAACGTTCTTCGCGCTGTGGGCACCCCCGCGTCGTTGTTTTACTTATTCCATTTGCGGAGCTGCGCAGCTTCTGCCGTAGGAGCCCAGGGAGGATCCGATTCTCTTGGGGTCGTTGTGAACATGACGAGATCCGATTTCTGCGGTTTGGGTATGAATGTTGGAAAGCGATATGTATGGGCATCTTGGGGTTGTTCGAGAGGATCTTGCAGAGCAAGGGTTGGGGGGTCACGATTAGCGCATGTTCCTAACTCAGCCGTGTCGTGATTGGACTTCACTTCTGGGCTTCTTGATGGTCCTTGGAGCTCGGCGGGTACGCTTGCATCGTCCTTTGTGTCAGTGTCGGTTGTTGTCGGCGTTGAGTGTTTTTGTCTTGACTCATCAGGCGGTGTCCATGCGAATGCTCATTTGTCTACAACTCTATACCTATGTTTCCCGACTTTCCCGGACGCAGTGCCTATGCAAGTCGATGCGACTCCGGAGCATGCCGACGCCATGCTCAGGCATCTCTTCGGCGAG